CATCAACATATCAACTGGTCCACATATCCCAACTTACCTGTCTTTAAAAAAAAACACCCCTCTTATCAATGTCAAGATTGACAAACAACCCCAATAAAACACGTGGTAAAAATATAACGGTTTTGTTTGTCCGGTAGTATATACTGGGGAGCCGCCTAGATCTCAAACAGCGCCGTTAATATCCTGGAGACGAGAGGGTGTGCTAAACCTGGGGACGGGAGGGAAGTCCTGCGCAGCTAGGGCAAACAAACCTGTTTGCGGGGCGGATAAATGTAGCCAGATTTACATCCAACCAAGGAAGGAAACACTTCACAATGTAAAGGTCGTATTTCAAGTAGGATCTACGGAAAGGATATACGCCATTAGCGCTGAATTGTTTTCAGGAAGTGAGGGAGATTGAGGGTTAGCAAGAAAAATCTTGAAAATAGGAAATGAGATGTTGTTGATCCCACCTGTTATACAAGTGCGACGAACGTATTACTCCGTGAAGGAGGTCAGTGACCTCCGACAGAGTATTGAAATCAAACGTGTACACGCGAGGGAAGCAAATAAAACCTTTACGCATGCTTTAAGGCATGCTTGAAGAATGGATTTTTTTGCAGTGGAAACTTACTTCACGGTGGATTATGTCCTACGGACACCTGTTTCGGTTGCAAAGTGACATTGGAGGAGTTACAAAACGAGTGGCTACAAACTACTAGTATCACTGCTTATGTATATGTTTAAAAAATTATTCTTCACGGGAACGGAGAAGCGGCGCGGAGGCTACTGGCTATATTACACCGAACGACCCGTTACACCCAACCTGCACATCTACCTGATGTGATGTCGCAACTGTACTGGTGAAAGCGAGTTCCACTCCACGATGGTTCTAGGAAAATAAGAGTTTTTAAGACCTCGATCCGGATTGATAACTGTAGTATTTGAAGGCATGACTATTTCCTGTTATTCTCTGAGCTGGTATCTTTATCTTTACAATCTTCCCACCCAATCTCTACTTGAATAACACGCTTCTGGAGAATTCTGTGGAATATAACCATTGCCTGGAGATGTTTACAGCAGAACATACAGACATAATGACTGCTCCAAGACACACGTACGCACGACACACACGGCAATGAGCCATTACTGCCCTGATTGACAACCGTCGTCCCGGGGGATTTAACAGAGAGATGACAGCCTGGGTCAGGCGGAAATGAGTCTAATTTTAGAAACAGGAGGTTATGAGAGAGGATGTTGGTTATCAAGTTATATTGATCCATACTTAGCCACGCGAGGACCAGTGGTCACGAGTCTCACAAAATGAACCGTTTGTAGTGAACGTTATTACGGAGACACGGCGATGCAGCTGGAATGTACTCTCCAAGCAGAGGTTTGGGTTTGGGGGGTATTTTTGGCGTGTTTTTAGGCTTTTTATCGGGGTTTTCTTTTTTTCATCCCAACCCTTCGTGTAAAACGACTGCAATGTGTCAAAGTGATTAGGTCTATTAGCGCATTGATGCTTTCGACTGCGGGCAGAGATTGGGTTGGGGTGAAAAAAAATCCAGTGCAAAAAGAAACCGCGATAAAAAAGCCTAACTTGAAATACGCCCAAAATACCCCAAAACCCAAACCTGCTTGGGGAGTACTGGGAATGTCGAAAGATGAAATGTCGAAATGCCAAACAGTATCAATCAGCTCATGTCTGAAGAAAGTTGAGATTGTACTGTACTCGTAACCCACGAGGGATTTAAAATATATTTAGTTAACAACAATCCAGGTATTATAGAACACGCTTTTCAGTAAGGAAAGATTGACATAGCTCTATTAGTCCCTTGTCATGTCCGGCAACACGTAGGGCTGCATGCGTCATGTCCTGGGACAGCCGAGAAGCTGACAGTACCGCTATGGTATCACTGATGTACGGGGATGTCCCACAGAAGTGCTGACCCATCAATACTGCTGACCCACCAGAGATGGTCAAATATGGAGGCTGGGTCAGCATCAGTATAAGGATCTGCACACTTAGCCTCTATCAGGCTTCGGGAGGCGGCTAGAAAAATAGAAGCTGGCAAAATTTCGAGTTGGTCCACTGGAGAGTACAGTTTGCCGCACCTGTACTCTCTAGTGGACCAACTCCCCTGACATGTTATCTCTCTATTTGGCCAATCTCTAGTATTTTTTCCAGCCGCCTCCTGGATGTAGAAGTCTACATTTGGGTGTCAGTACGTCATAATAAGTCAAGCTGACATGTATGTACTCAGTTTAAATGTTGATATAGGACGAATGACACTTTTGTTGCCATACACCATTGCTGTAAGTGACGTCACAGTGAATTGCATCCCAGAGGGACGACACGGATGTAGTTGTGTAGTCAGATATTTTAAATTTTGCTCTCTAAAAGCAGAGGTTTAGGCTATTTGGAGTGTTTTCTGTGTTTTTATCGGGTTTTGTTTTCTGTACTGGAATCATTTCCTTATTGGATACTGCCTGCCCAATTTGTGGCCATTTGTATTGCAGCCAACGAAAGATCTGCTTATGTGACATTGAGGTCCCTCACACGGCAGGGCGCTACATGACCTACAGGCTAACCTGCCTATATACATCACATAGGGTCATATACACACAGCCAGGCGCCCATAAGTAGCTGTGAGGTTATGTCTGAATCAGCACGGCACGAATCATAAATCATAGTTTATATGGATGATGGCGGGACTTCTTGAACTGGAGAGGCTGTAGTAACTCTCAAATGTAGCCTGGATACCAGACCCATAGGGCGTAGGCTGTGTAAATTTTGGCCTAGGAGCCGAGGAACTCAGCCTGTTGTGTGTAGGACCTGGAAATAGCCTGTCACCCAGGCTAAGACCATCAGAAAAATTACAGCATTTTTTCCCGGTCCAACACACAGGGTAGCATAAAGCGAGCAATTAAAACATGAAAAGGTTGGGTACACGTGGATCAAATTGATGGAAAGTCATCCCCAATAATTCCAGAAGCGACGACCGTGAAACCACATTCTTTCTCCATTTTCTTCAATTGCAAAAAGGATAGGCAAAAAGTGGTATACAATACGAGCGATCGCCATGACGTCACAGCTAGCGAGGAGTACGCAAAAAGTTGGGGGATGTGCCTACCGATAATTTGCATATGCCTTCAAATAATTTGCATGTACATGATGTAAATAAAAGCAGTGATCGCTCGGATACCATCTCTGCTGAATTCAGAAGACTGCCCTGGGCACACACGGTGAGGTCAGACCGTGGCATAGTGGCCAACACGCAATGGAATACTTGACATTCATGAGGGGGCATCTCAGGCTGCACCCAGGCTGTGCTATACGTGTACTGGCTCCTGTCACCAAACCTTACGTCAGTCTATACATCAGACCACACAGGGCACGGTGATTTATAGAGGAATAAAATATATGTATGAAACTTGAGTATGTAATATATGGCGCTGCGACTGTAACCACTATACCCATAACTATAAGGCCACAACAATGCAATCAATTGGTTCCCGGATTTTCTTCCCATAGAGTAAGCAAAAGGGACTTGCCGACCACTTGTCCAATGCGACGCAGCATTCTTCAGGGGGACTGCACATGATGGAGTCTGCCTGCTACTAGTAGATAGAGACTTTTTCATTGACGTCATAATAATCATCATATGAATCTAGGCGACCAGGTGTTGGCGGGTAAATTCATTAATTAACAGCATGTTCAACAGACATACACCGTAATCTAACAAAAACATGGCGGATGTGAAAAGTTAACAACCAAATTGTGTGGATTCTGGATCTATGGGGGTTCGGTCCCTACTCAGGTGCGATAACTGTCGAATAAACCACCGAGTGAGCGTAGCTGGCTATATGATAATAGAACATAATTCCCTAGGTGTGGCCATTGGAGCTGAACTTTCTGCTATTGAACTGCATCAGACTTATAGCTCCTTCATAACTAGACCAGGTTACTAGTACTTCGAATTCAAGCCAAATCTTGACACCTCCATTTAGCAATTAGTAGCTAAGAACATCCGTACCACTTAGTCTGTGGAAGCATTTCCGTAAAGTAAGGGCTTATGTAAAGCCATTAGGATGAGAGAATCGCTAGCATGCTTACATGATGGCACAAACCCACCAGAGGTTGGTCCAATTAACCTGTTTCTGTAACCCTTGGAGCAGGTACAAAGTAGGAGAATATGCAGGTAAAACAGCTGTGCACAGAAACCATTACAAGAGTCTACCCTGTCTTCTTTATTTACCTCAATCACAATAATCGAAATATACAAAATCATGTACATGTAAATTCAAACTATCAATAGGAGGGTGATTCTTTTATTCAATGCAGAAAAGTTCAATCCATTAAATGAACTGTATAGTGAGAAAATATTAGCACAGAATTACAGTGAAATGCCTAATGGTACATGTTCTGATGGGGACTGACAAGGAAGTACAGTACAGATAATGAACATGCATGCAAATTGTGATCAAAAGACATCAAAAGATAATTAGAGCAAGCAGTTTACACAGCTTTTAACTGCTTGTTACATATTTTTACACAGCTTTGAATAGAGATATACAGTATATATGACTTAAAACCACATGTAAAATGCATCAAAGGGTAATAGTATATAAGAAATAATAGCAATGGTTTCAGAACAGTTTTTAGTATAAAATTAAATCCATATTTCCTAAATTATGAGTAGTGCTTGCATCAATGAAGGAATGCAGAAAAAAGTATTCCATGCCCTGGCATCATATATAAACTACTGCACCCTCACATGGAGGTGAACACAACATTTTTTTTGGATACTGGAAGTAAAAAGAATGAAACAGAAAAGACTCAACACGGATGTTATATATATTATTAAATAGAACTGACACCCTCACACACCAAAACAGAGACTCACTAGTTTTACGCACCTTCTTATTCTACGGTTTCCAAAAGGCACAATTATAAGGCACAACTTGTTGTATGCATATCTAGAGTATGTGCATGAAAACTAGATCTACTGGTATGTACACATTTGAAATGTTACAACAATGTGAAATACAACATTTCATACTCCTCTCAACTAAACCACCTGAAAGTGTAAGGCAATAATTTTGAATGGCTACTGGCGGGTCCTGAGAATAATCTGAACAGGCTAAAATATGCACGCTGACCCTGTGTCTACCGCACAGGGAAGTTCTGCTGTATTTTTACAAATGACTACATATGGACATAGTATGTGAAGATGAGTCTGACCACCCAAAAATATACTACCACATCGTGATGTTTAAGGCACTAGACATGAAACTCACTGTTGTCATTTATCTGTAATCTACAATAATGTCAAAAGTAGTTTAAAATTGAAAGCCTGGTACCCAGACATTATATCATCCCACCACAATCTATAATTAATACAATACAAATGGAATTATGAATTATGATAGATTCTTTATCTTACAGGAATGTTTCATTCTTACATCTAAACACTTTGTGCCTGCAAACCCCTTGCCTTTTCCATAAAGTGTTTTAACAATATTAGAATTGTGAAGCGAGTTTAAACTTGTTTTTCCAATGCAGGAAATTGGACTTGCGCAAATTTTTTACTGTACAACTCCAAGGAATTTTGTCAAGGAATGAGCAATTCACAACTTCCTTGATGTCATGTTATGCAGATGACACACGTGACTTGCTGAGCAGTGAATCAATGTGTTGCAGAAAGTCTGTGGCGCCCCCATTTTTGTTTAGGGATGATCATCTGGTCTCCAGGCTGTGTGTCATCAGCATTACATGTCACAGAAGCAGTGGACTGCTCATTCCTTGAAAATTTCATGTGTTGGAAATCACAGTTCAAACTTGCTTCATAATGACTACTAAAATCTACCAACACAGATTAACTTTAAAGATAATACCAGAAAGGAACCTTCACTCTTAATTTTGCCTGTACAAGAAGAAATGAAGACCATGTCTAAAAATTGTTTCTAGTCAGTGGGTCTGACTTGTAGTGTGATCTTCTGCTGGTTGTCGAGGGCTTCTCTCAGCTTGTTCTCAGTCATGGACAGTCTCTGTTCCAAGATAGACACAGTCTGAAAACATTTAGATTAAGTGTGAGATTTGTGTAGCATACAATCTGAAAGGCCCATCAGACCGCTTAGAGAAAAACATTAAAGATCAGATTAGTGAATACAGACAAAGCTCATATTTGAACTGGGGGTCAAAAAGCCTAATACCAATACACTAATCCTCTATGTCATGAACAGGGTTGGACAAGTTTTCAAAATTCCACTTGCCCTATTGGGCAAGTACCTGGTCATTTCCACTTGCCCAAACCAACATTTCACTTGCCCAAAATATGAATTTTACCGTACTAACAGAAAGAAAATTATATTGTTATAGAATTTATAATGTTGGATACTTTATTTATCAAAATTGTTTGAAACTTAGATAAAATACTGGAGGGGCTATACTTTGCATCCAAAAAATTTACTTGCCCAATCGGGCAAGTACAGGGTGATATTCACTTGCCCGAACAGTAGTTTTACTTGCCCTGGGCAAGTGGGCAATGGGACTTGTCCAACCCTGATGAAACATCATGGTAACAAAAATGTTCTAATACACCTAAAGTTTGCCATTCCGTGATATAGCACTGAGACAGAAACTTGTGTTGGAATCCTGGTGTTGGAATCAAGTTCAACATTTTACTATGATTACTACCAACACAGATGAACTTTCAACATGATAATTTGAGAAAGTAGCACCCTACCTGTGTGATGACGTCTAGCTGCCCTACGATGTGCTCCAGCGTGTTGGCCAGTTGGGGTGGGATGGTCTGCCTCTCCAGGGGCTGGGTGGCTCCGACAGACGGCGGGGGCGCCGCGTGCTCCGGTTCCCTCATGGCCACATCAGCGGACGTGAGAGAGAAGTCGGCCAGGCTGTGGGACACCGCGCCATTCTGTCCTACCGCGGCCGTCTACAAAACACAGAAATTTATGACTTAGACTTCAGAAATTTGTTTACTAAAATTCTCCACCAGATGTGTGGAAGGGGAGGGAGAACAGGTGGGTCACCTTTACCAGCTCCCTCCCCGAATTACATCAATAAAAAAGCATTGTTAAACAACATTGAAATTATACACAATACAGGAGTGATACATACATTGTAATAAGTGATTCAAACAAAAGTGTGGACATATAACATATCAGTCAGCGCAGTCTTAATGCTTTGCATGTACCACATCTGCAGAAATACTACTCATTTCTTTCTATATGTTTCCAAATGAAAAAAAAAAATTCTTTGAATCTTTCACTCTATTGCACGGAATTTGGAGTCTATTATCCATAAAATTTACTTGCCTTGCTCAAGGACTTTATAATTATCTACTGGCCCTGTGCTATTACACCAAAGCCTAGTTCCCTTTTACTAATCCCCAAATGGATGTGTGATGGCTTCTTCTCTTATATATTTAGCTAGACAAGCTTTCAGCACTGGTTGCTTCCGTCAGTACTAGTAAAGCTACACAATGTGTCGCACATCCGTTGAGCAGGGAAGGACAGCTTATACAAAAGGTTACACACTATGATAACCACTCCCTTCCCTCTACCGGTAATTGTCTCTCATCAATTTCAGAGGTGTGCAAATGTCAGCGGGAAATCCCTAAAGCTACTATCACCGGTATCTGCTAAACTTGACTATAACTGACGTGTTTGGTGTCTGCCATTGTTGTAGACTGGTTTATTAAAGAACATACTGTATACCGATGACCTTCCTGATAGCCCTGATGGCTGAATTGCAAGGCATGTTCTAAGAAGCCATTTCAACAAAAATGTATACTACTACTAGTACATGTATTATGAATGTTAAAAGGTAGAATTACAATTCAAAAATCTGATTACATAGTCTAAATCGATAGTGGCTCTTGGAGAATTACTATATCATAGTTTTAAAAAAGAGTTAATCAAAACACAGAGTAGATTCACGAGTAATATGAGTCCATTGTTTGAGCTGGGTCTTGAGAAACCGTGGTAAATGTCAGGCTGTGGTCGGAAGGGTGGGCCTGTGCTGGAGGTGTGGTGAATGCGACCATTGTTACTGTAATGTGCTGTGATTACACAGCTTAATTGTGAAGACTGTCTGCTTTGTGATGATGTCTCCCTGACCTTTCGCTCAGTAACGAACACTCTCAGAGTCAACTTAGGACAGGGACAAGAAGAGTCAAACCACCAGTGTTCTAGCCAGACTGAAACTTTTTTGTTGAACACATTAAATTGTACTATGTCTAACAAAGTCTTCAATATACAACACAATAATCATGCTTTCTTTCCATTTTGGTTTGTTGTTGCTTTCCCAATGCTACGACCCATGGAAAACCGTAAGAGACAAAGAAAATATTTGTTTGGATATTGACAAAATACAGACAAATCCTCATGCCCTTAGGCATTACAACATTCACAGCATAGTGGGAACTGTGCCATATATAAATTACACTGATTCCGAGCACATGAATATACAATACAGTATATCATCAACAAGTTTTAGATTGAAGGTTTGATCTCAGTTTACTGAGTAGCCATTTTGACTCCTGAAGTACTGACAGCTATATTTTATATGGATGATTAATCATTACTGCTAGTACATTTATCATATGATTCATCATGATACTGTATGAGCCTAAGGCAAGGGAAGGACTTGGTCTTTCCTTCTCAAAACAAAGGAGACACTCCCTGGCTGAGTCACAATATGACGAGCAGAATTTTATTCATAGCGTCGGGGTCAGTTACAGATTCATGGATAATTTTCTGTGGCGCAAGCCATGCTTCAAGTCCCAAAGACATGACCACTGGGGGGGTCAGATTAATTTTCTCCACAAATTTTTTAAAGTACAAATGTATTAAACACCTAACCATTTGAGACACTAATTTCTGCTTCATTCTAATGTCAAATTGTGGTACTGTTGTTTTTTCTCTAAGTTATCAATGGTCAAAGGGTTTTCACCCAAAAGAAACACCCCTGTGTTGGTTGAAAGACAGTGCAGAAGGCTAAATCACAGTATTACTATAGGAAGTCCCTTACACACATATTTGCTCTTGCTAAAATGACATGTGGTTAGAATGATAGAATGATATATTAATTTCCTGGCACCACCCACTATTGACATAGGAGTGGTTTTTACACACATTCAAATTGTACAATCTAAAACCTGTCCTATAAAAGTTGTCCTATAAAAGTACAGTATGATATTATATCAGTTTTTTGATAATGCCAACTATTAACAATTAGGAGTGGTTTTTCCTGCTAAGCTATTGTCATACTCCATTAAATGTTGAAATTTTACAGTCTAAAATCTGTCCTATAAAAGTTAATTATGTGGTTAGTATGGTATTAGCTATATCAATATCCGGAGCAACTGCACTACCCGGTATTGATATTAGAGGAGTGCCTCTCCTCTGATTGCAACATACTAGTATTCAAATTGACTGTAAAACCTGAGCAAATTCAGGACCAAGAAAAAGCAGTCGCAATGGCCAGATGGTCGGCTTATAGTTATACAGGTAGTTGCTTGGGCAAGTTTGACTGTACTTTGATCTAGATTTACTATTACAGGATAAGGGCTATATCCATGACATATGAACATTGTTTACTGTTCAGGCAATTGACTGACAGGCTTATCTATACACCAGAATACAGATATCACTGTTTAATCGATCTTGATTACTGCGATTCTTTTGAGAACATTTCACGGGCACGAAAACCTCGACAACGTCACATTCGTACCAGCTGGGGCTGTGATAGTAAAAATACTTGAAGTTCAGCTAAACTTTGTTCGGCAAACACTCCAGGTACCACAAACACACGTGGTGTTGTCTGAGGGATGTTTACCAACCAGGCCTTGCCAGGATGCTGAGGAGACAGACAATGGGGGGAGGGACCGTCCTAGCGGCGCCCCCTATCATTACTGTGTTATGGCAACAACTCTAACAACTGTAATCAGGCTGGTAAGAATGTCTTACTTCTACAGAGTAGGAGAGGAAATAATGTGTAATTGGTAGTACTTAAACAGGAGAGGTCCATGGACAAAAGGTTACACACAGGTCATTTCTATGTTTGTCCTTTTCTTCATAATAAAAACCTGACAGGCTAGACTCTGTTGCAAGAACAGGAGTTTAGGAAGTATGGGTGATACTAAGAACTGTTCAGAAACAATTTCCTAATTCTTTTTTACTTCATAGTTGGTAACAGTTAATACAGCTTAATCTACATACATCAACAGGTATACAGTATATAAACCCAGTACATGAACTGGTGCAGGTAGACATCAGAAATACCTGCACAGCTCCAATTTTACCTGCACTAAACCTGCATAATATGCAGGTGGTATTTCGAGCACTGCATTGTGTGTTATATGTACATTTTATGTCTCTGAATCTGTGTCCTTTTGCACCTGGTGTCGTGCGTAATGATATGGTTACCGAACGTAAACTACTTCCTGCCATAAACCGTCGCCCTGGGCCCAGGTCAGCAGGGTCGCCGTGAATGGACACTTTTGTTCCAGATAGCCGTGCTCTGAGAAGCAGGAGCTGATTATATGTCCCCGGTTGTTACAGAAGCCTCAGTAATTGTGGGCTTTCTACCTTTTACAACACATCAACACCTGATGGGATAAACACCACTTTCACACTTTGTGTAGTGTGAAACGAAGGTCACATTGCCACAAAACATCTAGGAAGGTAGATTTAAATGGAGCTATAAAACCTAACAAATACGACATGTACAAAGAACAGGGTTTGGTTATTCGAGGAGTTTTGGAAAGAAAATAAAATCAGTGGAGCTAAGATGTTGTGTATAAGAAAATCAATATTGCTTCTTTTTTATATCAATGTTTGTGGGATTCTTGAAGAAAAACATTTTAGTATCCCTGTACATTGGCAAAAGTACAGGGTTTTGATGTACCTGTATGGAAAACTTGTGTGAGACTTATACGTTAATTCTGTGAGTAAAATGGTAGTAACATAATTTTGTGAGTAAAACTGTTGTAAGTTAATTTTGTAAGTAAAACTGTTGTAAGTTACATTCTGTAAGTAAAACTGCCCTAAAAATGTATACTAGTAGATATGGAACAGGACCATGAAGAAAATGGCTGGAAATTCTGACAACTCTAAAACACACAATCATACAAACACAGTAACAAAACAAACATACAACATGTACAAAGAACCCAGAGACAGATGGAAAAATGTTAGATTGATATCATGTGACAGTTCTCAAGTTCTTTCTTTCTCACGTTTCCCTTTTTTGTATAAATACCGGGTATTGTGGATACCTGATACAGACATGACAACATGTCAATTAATCATCATGACAAAATGCACGGGGGTTTAATGGGGCAAAATAATTTGAGACCAACAAATCGTCATTATGGCGTCTCCCAAACCAATTAATCTTGCCATCCGCTGAAATAATTGATAATAATTATAACCTGGAGGGCATGATTTGTCTTCACATGTCAACCAGGTGTGCAGATAAAGACCTTGTCACAGACACATACAGAATCTTCCCCCCATCACCAATCAAACAACAACCTTAAGGTTGGCTGAACTTCTGGAGCAGTCTGACCAGATTTAAGCCAGGACCACCTTTCTACGTGAATTCAAATTAAATTTGAGCCAAATCTGACCCCTGAACACCAGCCGACAATGGCCCCACCTCCCGCCCACACCTGAATGTTTGAAACATTTTGAAACATTCGGCTGTAGCAGTCGAACAGTAGCCGACCTAGCCGAACACCAGCCAACAACAGTGGCTCTGGTGTAGGTAATTTTCAACTTTACCTGTACCAGTGCAGGTATCCTGAATAAAAGGAGTTCAAGCCCTGCTAGTTGTAATTTCTGCATGTGTCAGCCCTGTTGTACTTGTGTATTATGACATGGAGGGAAGAGAGTTTGGAAGTGGACATACTTGTGGGTTTGAGAAGAGGGCAGGCCCTACATCAACCACCTCAGGACTGGGGACCTCCAGGTTACGGGGCTCACTCCGCGCATCAAGCTAAGGAACACAGGGCCAGAATCACACCACAAGCACTTTAGACTGGGTTTCTTTCACAACTCTACCGCTATTTAAGAATATGTAACAATCCCTACAAACTAGCTAGGATCATACAAGTGATTGCTGTCTTTGTTTACATCATATACATGAAAGTTATTTCAAGACATATGAAAATTATTGGTAGACAAATCACCCAGCTTTTTGCTTACATCGCTGGCTGTGACGTCATGACGACCACTCATATCAACCTCTACTGCATCTCTAGGAACCTTACAACTCTACAAGCAGATACTTAATAACTCTCAAGTTCCGAGATGCTACCTACTAGAGATAAAATGTGAGGTAAGAGTGTAAAGATGTCCAACTACATGTTGTATTAGCAAGGCAACAGCAAAGTTAACTGAGAAACAGCATGAGAAGACCCACATAGTTGCAAAATTGAGTTTCTTGATCTTATGATGAGAAGTAAGATATGGACTGTGCAGACTGACCTGTGGTACACAGCAGGCCTGTGGACCTGTCTGGCTGTGTGTGGGGAGTGGGGAGGGATGTGTGGAGGAGACTGGGGCTGTGCAGACTTACCTGTGGTACAGCAGGCCTGTGTGACTGTGTGTGGGGAGTGGGGAGGGATATGTGGAGGAGACTGGGGCTGTGCAGACTTACCTGTGGTACAGCAGGCCTGTCTGACTGTGTGTGGGGAGTGGGGAGGGATGTGTGGAGGAGACTGGGGCTGTGCAGACTTACCTGTGGTACAGCAGGCCTGTCTGACTGTGTGTGTGGAGTGGGGAGGGATGTGTGGAGGAGACTGGGGCTGTGTAGACTTACCTGTGGTACAGCAGGCCTGGGGACCTGTCTGACTGTGTGTGTGGGGAGTGGGGAGGGATGTGTGAAGGAGACTGACCTGTGGTACAGCAGGCCTGGGGACCTGTCTGACTGTGTGTGTGGGGAGTGGGGAGGGATGTGTGGAGGAGACTGACCTGTGGTACAGCAGGCCTGGGGACCTGTCTGACTGTATGTGGGGAGCGAGGAGGGATGTCGTGGATGTGAGGAGGAGGCTGAGGCTGTTCATTCTGTGCCTTGTGAGATTTCAGCACCTCACTGTAGTCTACCTGGTCAAAGTTGGTCTTCCACACCATCACCTATACCAAAAATTGACATGGTTTTAAGAAAATTGGTATGGTTTTAAGAAATATCTTCCACCAAAGGCTTAAAATACAATATTTATGATGATTTCCATCATACCAATATCCCTACAGCTGAAGAGGCAATTGTTGAACTGGTTTCAATCTGCTGTTTGCACTAACACTGGTGCAGCCAGTGCGGGTACCCCACCTAGCAGTCAAAGTCAAAATTGCAGGTACAAGCTTACCTGTTCATCTGAACCTCCAGAAGCAAAGAAGTCACCCGCCCTGGAGAAGGCAACAGTTGTGGCTGGACCCTGGAGAACAGACAATGCAAATGTTGAAAAACATGTGAAAGAAATGTCAGTAAATGTCAATATCAGACAGATTTCCTTATCCAGATTATTTTTTGTTTTGCTGTCTTGAAATTGCTCTGATGCCTTTAAATGAAACGCAGAAGTGGTGTTACCTGGTGGCCATGTAATGTATAGAACAGTCGCCCCTCCAGAAGATCCAGGATTTTCAGTGTTGAGTCGTTGGAGGCTGTGATGAGGTAGTTTCCAGAGGAGTGGAAGGACAGGCCATTCACCGCAGCAGTGTGGACTGGGGGAGAAGGAAAGTCAATGTGCCATCTTTCGAATTCACAAAGAAAAGACTGCAATGTAGGAAGGACACCTATCAACACAAAGGAGTACTGCAGCTTGAAGTCATTTTGCACGAAACCTTTTCTATGCCATAATCCAACCAAACATTGTAACTCCACCAAACAGCACAGACTATGCTTGATCTCCAGTACAACTTTTATATTTAAAAAAATGTCAAATATTTTTTTGATGTCTCAAAAAATTATAGCATGATAAGTGTTACCTTGGTAGTGCTGCAGTAGTCTGTTTGTCCTGATGTCCCACACCTTTACTGTGGAGTCTGTACCAGCTGCTGCTATACAGGTGCCACTTGGATGGAACGCTACACTGTTCACAAATCTGGAGGAAAAACAAGAAATCTGAGATTCCAATGCACCAGGATCTAGGAAGTCAGTGCAGCTAAAACTTGTCTGGACCTGCACCAATGCAGGTATGTAGATAAAGGGATTTTAAGCCCTGTGAGTGCATTTATATGTGTATGAAGTCAAAAGGATGACCGCTGCAAGGGACAGAGGTCTTGAGACAGCTGTCCATCCTCGCTTCTGCCTTGCCCCCCCCCCCCCCCTACGACCAGGAGGTCAAGGGACAAGGTAGGTAGGTAGATAGAAAGTCAATAAGTGTTTCTTTACCCTCCATGTTCGAAGAAGGTGTGTACACACTCCTTAGTGTTCCTGTCCCACAGCTTGACTGTCTTGTCATCACTTCCTGAGACTATCATACGTCCATCTGGAGAAAACCTGACACATGAAAGGAAAAACAACAAACACTTCAAGACTATATCCAATCATATTGTCATGTCCAAAAATCTTGGAAAATCTCTACCTGAATATAGAAAATGTTTACACTAAAACATTACAAAAATATGGTGCTCATTCAGTATTACTGTAGCCCAGAACCCCCTAGTATTGTTGTGCCTCTGTATTGCAAGAAAAGAACTACAACACAGTAGAATTATTCCCATACCTGGCACACCTGACCCAGTTCATGTGTTGGTTGAGAGAAAACTGAAATTTCTGTCTGTGGACGGTCCAGACCTGCAGCAGGAAACATCACCTCACATAAAACAGTATTTTACAACTCAACATCTTGACAAAACAAAATCTTGGTATGATTCTTAGGCTTCAAACAATATTCAACTTTGCCAAGCTAACTACAGGCTATGGGACTATAGCTACCTTTTTTTACCATCATAAAAGATAGAAAATGAAGAGACAGTTGTACTACCTTAATAGACTTGTCATCTGATGATGTGAGTAGAGCCTGTCCATCTGGGGAGAAGTCCACACTCCGGACTGTGGCAGTGTGAGCTTTAAACACTGTGGACTCTCCTTTACTGTAACAAAGTAAGGACCAAACAATTGTCAGCCATGTTATATCTGCTTATGGATATTTTGCATCAGAGTTTGGAAAAGCAATTTCGATACTCTTCTGATAGTTTTTGCAAGTTTTCATGGTGAAATGTTCTATACTTACACACTGGGTATCCAAAGCCGTACTGTCTTGTCTCGTGAGGCTGATGCCACCAGATGTCCAGAGGGAGAGAACACCACAGACATTACTGCATCCTGGAGAACAAGTCAACATACAGTAACTATTTATCACAGTTGAAACATGAAATCATTTTTAAAAAATTTCTAGCTGGGGGACAGGATGGGTATAGCTCAACTGGTTGGGTAGTGTGATATTTTTGACACATGTCTAGCAAAAATTTTGGCTTACATACTTTTGTGAATAAAAAAATAAAGAAACAAGAGATACCTTGTGTCCGACGAATCTGTAGGCTCTCATCTGTGGTTTGAAGTTCCAGACCATGAGACAGGAGTCCATGGAGCCTGAGGCTGGGGAGGAACAACAAATCAACTTTGGGTAAAAACACATCCAACTTCATACAAGATTATCCCCCAAAAAGAAACACCCCTACACTAGTTGAAAGGCATTGTAGGGGGCTAAAATTATCACAGGGTGGTGCAAATCATGGCATAGATGGCCTGTACACTAAAACTGCCTAGCATGAGCATTTGACAGAAATTGCCTTATTAGTCTTACCCAGCTGCTTCATGTTAGGGTTGAAGTCCAGACTGGTGACTGTGTCTCTGTGTCCTTTGAAGTGTCTCTCCAGGGTAGGGTCCTCCTGAAAAGGTACACAAATTTATGAGAAATTATATTATGATTTTATGACTTCAGAAATAAATTATCTTGCTGCCCAGCTCAGTGTTCTAGCTAACATCCGGATCAAGGGTTAGTACGGACTAAATCGTGTTATATGAGACTCAGAGGTAGATTCTCCTATCTGATTTACATGTAGTTGGCCCTGTTAGGCTACCTTGTACTTCAACTTGACAGTCTGTAAGGTCATGGTGGTGCCCCCCTCCCACTTTGTGTTGGCGTTACCTTAGGTTAGCTGACATAAATTTTACAAACAAATCGTATTTACCAGTGCCAGATTGACCCGAATACAAGCTACAAAGAAACTTACCAACACCGACGTCATGATCGATGCCACTGATGTTCCCTTTGAGTGAATAAAGCGCACAAAATCCCCAAAACAAAGTCAGCAAACTGCAAAACTCCGATACCAAACTCCAAAACAATGATTTCAAAAATGGCGGTTATGCTACTGACTGCGCATGTCCGGTAGCCTCGTTTTGGATTCAAACATGGCGGCGCCCATGGTCAGGAAATTTTGATTTTGTTGTTTTGATTATTATTTTGGAAAATAATGATTTTCTCATGCATCCTACTCCATGTGCGTTGTCTCATCCATTTGTGCATTGAATTCTATTGTTATAAGTTGCTGAATAATCCTATACATGTGATTGAAATGTTTAAATTGATAGATTTGGATGGTACTTGGGGGGGGGGCGTTTTTTCTTTGAAAGGTAGAAGCTATCAAGTTCACTGTTGCTAACATCAGAGTAGAATCTATATGTTTTTCCAGGTGAAATAAAATATTAAAATAAAATTGAAAAAAACAAGCTAAACTGTTTCCATGTGATTTCATTTGATAGAGACGCAAGGATCACACGTTGATGTCAAAGGCCACAAGGACAGAAGATCCAAGCAGACGTAGGAGGAGTCACCATGATGATGATGAGCTGGTTCACTTCAGAATAGTCAGGTTCATGATGGAGTCTGGTAAGAGGTGTTTTATTGTCACAGTTACCAATCGTGGCAACTGGGCATTCGATTGAGGAATTTACATAAAGAATTAGGACATTCAATTTTTTATATATCACCATACAGAGTAGATCTGACCGAGGTGTTGCTTTCTCTGTCAGGAATCAAACTCAGGATGACATCTGTTCCCATGGCAACAGCAGCCATCATTTACCACAGGTTCTTCTCTCACTGCAGACTACAGGACTATGACCCTTATGTGAGTAATGCTCCTTCTTACTTGTACTTGTACTTGTTGAGGTCTCCTCGAGTCAGTCGTTCGAGTGGCCTGAGCACAGAACTCGTCTCTTCCTCAACAGCTCCTTCAGTTTTAGTTAATCTTCTCTAGCAATGATTTAATCCATGCAAAAGTGTCAAAGTTTTGGTTATTGGTTTATTCAGACTTCGTCACACTGAGCATTACATTTTTTATTCCATTATTGGGTGTTGAAAACCATATGAATGTAAACAAGCAGATGTCAGGAGGAAAAGATTGACTTTTTAAATTCAAAATAACATAGACAAAGTGTTGCTGCACTCAAGTTGTACAACCTATTTTTGCCAGAGCCTTTTAATTCAATACCAGCTAGTCCCATTTAAACTAATAAAAGCATTTCCTGTTTTATTTCAAGCTTATAGGTATGACAGCCATTAGTTTGGCTTCCAAGGTGGAAGAAGAACACTTGAAGATCAGAGATGTCATCAACGTTTGTTACAGGTATGCTAGGTCTTACTGATGAGGTACTAAGTACAAATGTACTCTTTTGAGATTAGTGCAGCATTTACTCTCATGGTAACATAAGGGCTTATACTGACAATGCCAATGAGCGAACCACACTATAGATATACATTGTAATGGCAACACTATACAGAACTTGACATTCCAGCAACAATGTCAAATTTTTCAATTGGAAGGGTCTGCATGCCTTCGTCAGGCATAGCTTCATTTCACTTCACCACTAATCGTAGCTGGCCAGTGGCCACTTTAATTCAGCATTAAGCATTGTCGGAAAATTCTTCCAGAAGCATAATTGATCACTTAAATGTAGCACATTATTAGTCATGCTGAATTCATAGTTAAACATTATTGGAAAATTCTTCATATGTAGATGGACATTTGAACATAATTGTGTTGTGATGATTGCCAGGACTCGTCACCAGGACAAGCCTCCCCTGGAGTCTCAGACAGAGCTGTCAGACCTGAGACAGGCCATGGCCAGCTGTGAGCTCCTCATCATGAGAACCCTGGGCTTCAACGTCACCAAAGAACTGCCACATAAGGTAAGGGTTCATGGAAAAGGCCGGGCTGTGTACCTGGCCCATCTACCCGGTCAGGCTACTCAGATACCCTCAATGTCCTGTATGATTTGTTGTTAGCAGTATCAGTATGGATGATGAAAGTTGAGAAACCTACATTGTACATCCTTTATTCCACAGTACCTTCTCCACTACCTCAAGTCCCTTGCAGACTGGATGGACCGGAGTGTTTGGGAGAGAACACCTATAAGAGACACTGCCTGGGCCATGTTGAGAGACCTGTACCACGGGAAGGTAAGTCAGTCTACACATCTACATGAGACCTGCGCTTGACTATGCTGCACCTTTCCTTCCTTTAATGCCCACGATCATGTTGAATGATCATTCTAACATGGCTGATACAAGACACAAGACCTCTGTCCAGCCTCCAGGTGAACTCCAGATGTGACATGTAAATACTGTATTGATACATGTACATCTTTCTTTTACATGTTAACACTTAGTAAATGGTTTTCTGAGGATAAAACGTTATGTCCCTGAGAACATACTTTTATGATGTGAATTTTCGTGTTAATAATTGACAATAGTGTATAATAATTGTGATCTTGTATATAAATTTTATGGAGCCAATCTTTGTAAATACATTTTTGTACATGTACCAAATTCAGATTTATATGTCTGCCTGTTGTATAACAAAGATCCAATCCAACCCCAGGTGTGTCTGTGGCACAAGGCCCAGCACCTGGCAGTAGCCGTCCTGTACTTCAGCCTGCTGTGCTACGGTATTGAAGTGCCTCTCAACAACCAGGCCGAGACTAAATGGTGGAAGGTTGGTGTGATTTGTAACAGTGTTCTAGCCAGCCAGAATTTCTTTTCCATCATTCCCAAAACCATTAAAAGTGAAATGTATACTAGTATGTACTTTTGAATCATGTTTATCGTGTTGGTAATTAGTGTACAATACACTTTGTATTGTGTGAGACAACTTCTTATTACATGTATCAAAAAGACTTAATACTTTCTTCCCCTCTTGCAGGTGTTCTCTGAAGACATCACCGAAGAACAGATTAAGAACATCATAGAGCAGATTATGGATGTCTATGACTTAGAACAAAGATTATGAGATGAACTTGTAAATACAAAATAGTTAATGATAATAATAATAATAATAATGTAATAATGTTTTTACAGATATTGAAGACTTACTGTCTTTTGTGCCAATAGTTGATGTTTACATAATTTATTGTAAATATAATACTGTAATTCCTGATTTGTTCACTGTACTGATATGTTCACTGTTTTCACTGTTGCTTCTGCACAGTGAACTTATCATTACAGTTAACAAATAATTCCTGGACTTTCTGTTTCCTACAGCTGTCGCCACCGTGAACATATAGTTACGTGAACAATAATAATCCAATAATGTTTCTACAGACCGTGAAACTTCTGTGCTACCGTGATGTTACATAAAGTGAATTACAGTATAAGCTAAGTAAATGAACAAAAACACAAAGGACCTGTAGTGCTGTAACATACATTTTATTATATCAATACATGTACAAAAATAAACTCTTTGTAACTCTTTGTCCAGAAAGACTTTGTTAATGTACTTCATCACTCGGTGTGTAAGAGTAGTTGTCTGCTAGATGCTGCAAAAGCCATAAGAAAAGGAGAAACCTGAAAAAAAAATATTGTCACATGTCAGCACTTGGCAGCATAGAAAAGTGCAATATTTCATTATCAACCTAATGTTATCATAACAATGTTAGACAGTAAGTGCAAGTAAAAGGGATCTGTCTACCTGTATCTAACCTGCACCGGTCCATGTACTGAGTTAGTTTATGTAGACTGTTACTACAGGTAGTCTTGCAAACTCTCAACTGAAAACTCTAAAATAAAAGCTCAGTAAAAATGTTTCTTCTACACTGTATGTAATGTAGAATGCTTTACTCTTACCTGGTGAACCCTGAAGGCACATGGTTTCTCATCATAGTAACTCAGCATTGTCAGGGCACCCCACAGCTTCACCATATTACTGTCAATAAGCAAGAAGACTCAATGTTATCTTGAAAGTTCATCTTTCTGTGTTGGTGGAAGTCATTATGAAGCAAGTACTGTACCCAAAAACCCAAGTTACATACAAATTCATAAAAGCGTCTTCCTGAGTTGCCACAACTATAACAGGGCTTATGATCAAATATCATGGAATAAGGACATACCTGCCTGCTACCCTTAAAATGGCTGAGATGGTCTTATCCTCATACTTCAGGATATCAATTTGAACAGCAGCGCCAACCTGTAAGTGTAACAAGAAGCTATGTAACTATATCAGCCTTGCATCAACCCCCTGTCACACATTCAGAACTTTCAACCGTCTGAAGTTTGGTAGACTAGATTTCGGCTACATCTACATTTCTATTCACATCAAATTTGAGTTAAATTTGACAACAGGCCCTGAACATTGCTGATTTATTATATAGTGTACAGTATTATGTGCTCAACATTGAATGACCTGATATCAATAGAATTCCTATTGGATCACTTCTAGTAGGAACACTTTTTTTATATTTTATTGTAAGGCATGCATTTATTCATTATGCCACCTTGTAACAAAAAAACTCAATCAATGAGACCTTAAATTCTTACCTCTCCGTACATGGACATCATGGCCTTCATTATGACAGTTCTAAACGTTAAGACATCAACAGCCATTGTCTTGTCTTCAAACTCCCTGAAGAAACAATAAGAAACCATATAGCATGATTAAACATAGTCGTGGACGACTCTGGTAATCCTTTTTGCATGATAATGCCGGATCTGTATCCGGCATTATCATGCAAAAAGGATTACCAGAGTCGTCCACGGCTAGATTAAACAGTGAAAAAGGTCGTGAAAAATATTATCTGCCACAATATCAAATATGCAAAAAATTCTACCACTAGCTAGGTGATATGTATAACTGTTAAATGTTAAGTTATTGTTACTTTTTTCATCTATACTTCAGAATAATATATACAGAATAAGGGGTTTTAGACTCAAGTAAACCCAGAATATTTTTTCATGTCAAAAATCATAAGCATGAGGGTCTGCATGGGGGGGTCCTGGCAACGGTTAACGGTAAATTCAGCAGGGCCGATAACGCTTAACGGTAAATTCAGGACGGCCGGCAACGCTTAACGGTAAATTGACAGGCTTTTTTTTCGAGCTGCACTGGATTTGGTATCTCGCTTTGTGAGAAAAGGTGATCACTGACAAAATTACGTATACCTTTAATACATGTAATGAAGCATGCATAAAAGGTATGTGTTCCCTGTGTTTCCCACCTGCCCTGGTCCCCGAGTGCGTCCACAAATACCGGGGTGTCCGAGTCGACTTCGGCCAGCTTGCATTTTTTCAGTCTGCCCAGTTTTACCGGTGGATTTTGAGAATGCTCCCCCGGGAAATTTAGGATTTTTAAGCCTTCAAAAACGCAATTTCCCGCATTTTGAGAGGCAAATCATGGTGTTGAGAGTGTTTGTCGGTCCTTCTGATGTTTTCATATTTTACTCGAGATTGGTTGACGGATTCGTAAAAAAAATTCTGTAACTCTCCGCAAACTCCCGGAAATTGAAGGGTAAACTGGTTCTGGCTAGAGCCGAAGGGACCGAGCGCAGAAGCGCGAGTCGAGCGCCAAAGGCGCGAGCAATGTAAGGGGGTCCGGGGGCATTCTCCCCCGGGAAATTTTGTATTTTTAAACCTTCAATGACGCATTTTCCTGCACTTTGATAGGCAAAATTAGGCGTAACGAAGAATTATTCATTAACGTTTAACGCTGAATTCAGGATGACAAATAACGTTTTACGTTGAATTAAAACGACCAATAACGCTTCACGAGGAATATACTGATAACGCTTAACGTTGAATTAGAGCGGGCCGGCAACGATTAACGGTAAATTAAAATAACCCATAACGGTTAACGAAAAAGGGCATGCAGACCCTCAAGCATGCTTGCCCTGACAAGTTACGAAATAAAACAACCGGCTCTTACAATAACACTTTCAAATAGTAGTAAGGTGCGTCTCCTTTGCTTACGATCCTCTTCATTGCCAAACCTCACAGATTCCTGCCAGAAACTAAAAGACAGAGGTTTTGAAGACTTGCAGAAATCTACAGCTGCCCTCCCCACTTTTTCGTCTGTGAAAAAGGTCCTGACCCCAGGTGTCTGGTATTGCGAAATCAATGCCTGAATAAAAGTAGACCAGTCTACCACTCTCATTATCTGTTTTAGATACAAAAAAGAGAAGGAATAAATTCATCACGTATAAAAATGATAATATAAATATGTTACGTTGGTTATAAGCTAACTTTTATTGTATACAAGTCGACATTTACATCAGGCAGAAAGATAATAACGCTGGTAATTCCAAAATCGATAAGGGGCCTCGGCAGCAGTCTTCGCTTCTTTGGCTGCATTTGCAGTCGAAAAAAGAAACTTTTACACATAGAAAAGCCAAGATCGAAGGTAAGAGACTTTAAATTCAGACACTTAACATTATTTTGCGCCTGTGACGTTACACATGTGACGTATACTATCTATTTGATGACTAGTAAACAGCGATGTCATTAATGCAGGCGTGTGAAACAGGCGCCATCCTACGAGTAGTATAGTTGCGAACACACAAGCACGACCGAAAACAGGTAAAACGAAGTTCCAAAGAACCCAAATATACCGGCTTACCATCAGTGTGTGTTACAACAACACCACCAGCCACAATTTAATACCTCGAATAATTGATATTATTATTGATTAATAATTTTTTAATGTTCAATATTAACGTTATTATATCAATCTAGTTTGATAACCCAGTGAAGAGCCACCTCAGCCCAGCACATCCCTTCACCATGTCTCTGTATGACGGGCTGGGTCTGGACTCAGGAGCCAAGGATGACACCAAGAAAACAAGTGCAGATGTTTGTAAGTACATGTATAACCGTTACATGTTATATGAAAATATGTGTTTTAGTAACAATAAAAAGAGGCAATTGACTTTTATACTTTATATAAATTATAGTTTTATTTTTTTTAAGATTATGTATACAACATCACTAATCACTGTCCATTTTTTCAGCTGGCTGGTCATCATCAATTAAGTTACTTCAGTCCCAACTGGCCCTGAAGAAAGCTGCTCTCACCCAGGCTCAGAGGGTAGGCAACATCTTCATCAGAATTAATTTCCCACACATGTTACATGCAGTTTTTACTCAATTATATATGTAACATGTAGGTGTATGTGGACTTTTATTTGCTGCATGGACTGTTACAACCTATATAGCTATGAAGTATAAAAGAAATAATGGCAATGGTTTTAGATTTATTGTGATAGTAGATTTAGTGTGATTCTTACTATTCTATGGGAAAGTCGCTTAACATTTATCATGAGTAATCTGTGAATGTTAAGATTCTAATGTGTTCCTGTGTTTGTGTAGCAAAAGGCCAGGACTGCTACAGTAGCGCCTGTGGTGGCCCTGGGCAGTGCTAAAGTGAAGGAGGAGCTAGCGGAGGCAGCCGGCAGCAGCAGCAGCAGTGGCAAACAGTCTGTAGTACGGGACATGCCTCCCCCTCCCACCCTCTCCTTCAACAGACCTGCACAGCATCCCAGAGTGGTTAGTATAAACCACATTTACTTTCCTCTCTCTAGTACTACTGAAAAAAAGGGTATTCTAACCAACCTGAAATTTTTGCCATTATCTCAATTTTGTGTAACGTATCATCATGTTGAGTACTGAGAGATCATTTCTCAGATGTGATTTTAGATATGACTTTAATAAAAAATACATTGAGCACATTTGCTGTGATCTTTGTGAGAAAGAATTGACTTCTTGTCACATTTTGAAAGGGAGCTTGGCTTTCTTGTCTTCTCACATATTAACTTTATGCTCTTTTGTTTTGTTTCTCCCAAAGAGCAAAAACCTGTTTCTGCCTATCATTCAGGACCCCAGTCAGATGCCGGCATCCATTCCCGGAGAGGAGGCGCTGATTAACGTGATTGACGAGTACGACCCGCTCTTCCCCAATGACTACGAGAAGGTCGCCAAGGAGTTCCGGGAGAAACAGGCGCGCGAGAGAGACCAGGAGCGAGAGAGGGACGTGGACGAGAGAGACAGGTGAGGCTTTGTTGGTTTGTTTTGCATAAAATGGTAACCACCTTTTAGGCTTTAGGCAGTTTTGTACAGCAAGTACAGACTGTGTAAGAAAGGATAGTAAGGTTTCAACCTCTCATACTGGGAAGCACCCTGATCTTTTCAATATGTGTGTCAGTCTCACCATCTTTAACTTGCTCTTTAACATGCTTGAGGCGTGGCTTTCCTCAAACAAGGGACCTCTAATGTTATGTCCCATCTGAGAGGACGTACCTAAATAAAGCTTGTTTTCACTTGGGTCAAGTGAGGAAAGAATTTAAACTGGTATGTTTCCTACATGTACCCAGGAGGCGGAGAGACAGAGATCGGGACAGAGAGAGGGATCGGGACCATGAGCGGGACAGAGACAGAGAGCGGGATAGAGATCGGGACAGAAGAGACCGCTATGGCGATGATGACTTTGACCGGGACCGCGGACGTCGTGGTGGATTCCCGGGCTACCGCGACCGTGATGATGATGATGACCGGGACAGACGAAGATCTGGTAGTGGTAAGCATAGTTATGAAATAATTAAAGATGTACACGTATTTACATGTATCTGTGGAAAGTTTCAGGATTGCGAGGTCAGCTTTTCAAATTATCATTTTAGAATTAAAATAGATGATGATGATGCACCATGTTATACATATATAGCCAGTATGGCATGGTTTTGTCTGTTTGAGATATACATGTATAATGTTTGTACTGCTGTTGTTTCAGGTGGCATGGTTCCACCTCCAGGGTTTGCCCCACCACCAAACAATGATGAAGAGCCAAAGACTTTCAACAGAAAATCCAGAGGAGGTTAGTTGACTCCCAGGAAAACATAAATACGCTGCTTTTAATTGCATCTTATGTGCACGCAGATGGGAAGTTATTGGAGATCATGAGTACTGTATAAATTATCCACTGTTCTGTGTACCTCCCACAGCTGGATACGGTGGTGCTGCCATCGCCCCCCCTCCCAGTTTAGATGACGAGGATGTTTACAGCAGGAAGCCCAGTCGTGGAGGTAAGTGGTTGATTTAAACTCCACACTCACCTTGATAGAAAACGGTTGCTTGCTTCATATCATACGCTTTTTCCAGCTATTTATTGGTGGGAGCGAGGTTTAAACATTGATGGTACCAAAAAATAATGGGACTTGGTTTGAAGCTATTTAAACACTTGAAAGCAGGATGCTTAAAGTAAAATGTGCTAAAAAATGGCAATAAAATGGCAGTATCAGAAGGATTTCCTCATCCTGAAAATTTTTTTGTTTTGCTGTGCACACAGAAATTGCATTGGATGCCTTTAAAAGCTTAGTCTTGCAGTAAAATGGGTCAGACTTTCCAAGCATGCCGAAGTGCTCACATAGAAGGCAAAATGCTTCAAAAGAATCGTGACCAATATTTTTACAAAAATGGGACTAAGGATACAGTGTATGAGGCTTTTATTGTGCTGGATCACATGACCTGTTGTCTGACCAATGACCAGGCGGCTTTGTAGCAGCCTCTGGATCCAGCGATGACCCTCCTGAAGAGAGGAAACCCAGATCACGTTAGTGAACCTTCTGAAATGCTCTGGTATTTTAGTCTCGTCGTGTAACGTCGCTTGAAAGACCCAAATATGGACATGGCAAGCGACCATCTCATTGTGTCAGTTACAGAATGTTTCCCATCATGCTCCTGGAATCGCCCTTCATGGATATGAGCATGATCACAACATTTGCAGAATGTTAAAAGCATGCAAAGTGATTTCAGTGATGTTTGATTGTGTTTTTTTTTCCATCCAAGGTCGCTCAGGATCAGGCTTCCCCCCTCCCCCCAACCTGGATGATGACAGCGACTATAGCAGAAAACCCAGATCAAGTGAGTCTGCAGAAGCAGTTCTGTATAGATAAATATGATTCTCCAATGTTTGTGTTGAAGCAGGTGCAGTTATATGAGTCCATGCAGTTATATGAGTCCCTATTGATATCACTCAGTCAATTCAAGTCATGTTTTAGCAAATACTTGTCATAGCTGTTGTCCCATGGTTCTTGCCTTAGCTATCACCTGTGCACTTTGTGGAATTGGTTCCTGCATGGAATTTGCATGAAGATGATCCCAAATTCATAGTTGTTTCCCTTTCCAGCTCCCTTCGGCGGTGCAGCGATCGCCCCTCCCCCCAGCCTTCAGGATGATGAGCCACCATTTGAAAGAAAACCGCGATCAAGTAAGTGGGAGGTTATTGAAAGTTTTGTGGGAATACATGCACTACGTGGAAATTAAGAGGGCACGTAAGGGTTCTCACCACAATTTGTTTACAGTATAGGGGTGTAGGGGTCTGTGGTGCAAGCCACCAGTGAGCCCCAAAGACATGACTATATTAGGGGATCTGGCATTTTCCTGGAAAATTCATAACCCTCTGAGGCACCATTTCCTGCTTTTGGAAGGACAAATTTTGTCAAGTTACATTTTCTCTCTGTTTTTAATCTGAGAAGCAACATATTACATTGGCGAGGCCTTAGTAAAATTACAAAGTTTGAAATGAATGCATTTGTCTCTTTCTATTCACCACTGTAGGTAATTATGGAGGAGCTGCTATTGCCCCGCCTTCAAACCTAGATACACCTGAAAGTAAGTCACTAAATTTCACCTTTTAAGTCGCCCTTTGTTTTTAGCAGTAGCTAATAGTCTTTAATGTGCTAGTCTGTAAAATCCATTCCTGTGAAACATGTTTGACGAGTATTTGCCTGATGAGTAGGAGATTCAGGAGAGGACCTGCGTATCTCCGGGGAGGAGGCCTTCGCACGGCGGGCCAAGCTCAGCATGCAGTCCAAACGGCGGGACGAGGAGGAACGGGATCCGGAGAGATCCACGACACCACCACCTGGCAGCAGCTTCGCAGCGACCATCGGGTACAGGGACTTCTGTCATACCAAGGCGATAACGTTCGATATGAGTGTTCCGGACTGTGTGAAAACTATCCCTATCACACAGTGTGCACTCAAACTAACAGTTATCACACGGTTTTGTATCCAGCTATTTATCAATGCCATAATAATAGTACTCCTTACATGGCTCATTTTGGGGCTATTTCAAATGGTCGATGACGATTATTTCATTGGAATTTCTGTCCTATTCTGTCCTGATGTAGTGGCTCTGGTGGTTTGGCGGCAAGTCGTATCATGGCAAAGTATGGCTACCGGGAGGGTCAGGGACTGGGCAAGTCTGAACAGGGCATCAGTACAGCCTTACAAGTGGAGAAAACCAGCAAGAGGGGAGGAAAGATCATCCAAGGGACACTGGAGCCTAAAGGTACAACAAATACTGGTATTGGTACTGGTACTGGTCATCGTTTCTTTGCTTTTGAGTCTTCTTGGCTTTTGAGTCAACTGGGTAGAGTGTTTGCCGTGCATTCAGTAGTTTGTGAGTTTGATCCCCAGTCAAGTCATACCCTAAACTTAAAAGAATGGCACATACTGCTTTCTCTGCTTAACACACAGCATTTGGGAAAGAGTATGGGAGTTGAACACATAGCACTACCAGTGGACTAGACAGATTGCAAATCAAATTCTCATATACTTAGTGCCTTGCATTCTATGAAGTGTACAATCACCACAATCACTACAATGTCAGATATTTTGCTATTGCTCCCTCCAATGTAGGGGACCATGACATTCTTGTGTTTGATTTGTTTCAGTTGTTAAACCTGAGCTGGACTCCATCACAGAAATCATGAAGAACCCGACGAAGGTGGTTGTGTTACGGGTAAGGCTTGTTAGGTTCTCGTAGAAGAATGTAGGATGAGAAGGTGGATTTCGTTGCCTAGTTACAATTTGTTGACAAAGACAAATGTCTTGTCAAGCTTTTAACAGTGAAGCACACAGCAATATTGTTAACACACAAAATCAAATTACAATTGATTGCATTACTGTACTAGCCAGTCCAAATTTTTTTCCGTCATCTCAATTTTGTTTGTAACAATTTATTGCTCCTCCAGGGAAATTTTGAAATCTTGACCCTGCTTTTTAAGGGGCAAATTTTACTGATAGACTAAGCTTATTTTAATGACATTTCTTTCCACATCAATTTTTGTCCGTCATGAGTGACAAAATTTCATCAAATGATGTAAAGACAGATTTAAATGCTAGAGCATTGGATGCCATTAATACACATAAACCAGACCTGTAGATATCAAGTACGTGTAGCAAGGTTGTACCTGTTGACCTCGCCCTTTAACCCTGCAGAACATGGTAGGTCCCGGAGAGGTTGACGAGGACCTTGAACCTGAAACAGCTGAGGAGTGTGCCAAATATGGTAAAGTCAACAAGGTCGTCATCTTTGAGGTACGTAACCTGGCCAAGACATTGATTGTGGTGGTTTTGCAAAATTTTTCCAGTTTTGCCCAATGCCCAGCTACAGCCTTATGATTTTTTTGTATGTGTTTTTCAGATGCCAGGAAGACCAGAGGATGAGGCTGTCAGAATATTTGTAGAGTTTGAAAGATTAGAAGCAGCCATTAAAGCTGTGGTAGATCTTAACGGCCGTTACTTTGGTGGACGGTTGGTGAAGGGGGCCTTCTACAGTCTGGACAAGTTCCGGACACTGCAGCTGGCAGATGAGCTGTGAAATGAATAATATGTGTACTGTTTAAATGTGGGGTGTTGTAGTACAGTAATACAGTTCAGATCTCGATTAACTTCCGATCTGCATACACGATAAAATGCGAATCACGATAAAAAAATTGTGCAAAATGCGATACCGTGCATTGCAAAAGCTGTGCACTTTTCATTTAAATAACTTTCATTTCTCGTCACGTGTATAACATTTAGATGTTCATTTGACCGTGTGTGGTTATGCATTATAGATAGCCACAGGCAATTGTGCATGCAGTTTACACAGCTTTTACAGAAGTTTTAACTACATGGTATAAGACTTTTTCAAGGCTGTCAATCGCAATGCGTGCGACCTTTGCACGACAAATAAACAAGACTAATCTGTGCGTAAAATGCATGGGAAGGGAAGTTAACTGATATCTGTACTGTATGTGACATGGCAGGCTGTACAAAGTTGACTGTGGGAAAACTGCATGTGCTGTACAGGGTTGTTCTGTTGAGTCTTACTTTTAAGTAAAACATGTACATGCTAAAGTAAAGCATGACGCCTTTTGTGCCCCGACGTCCTGTGTAGAACTGTCAGAGCTGTGATCTTCATATTGCCAGTCGTCCCTCAATCCTATCTCTACTGGTTTCTTCCAAAACAGAAGTAGAAATGGTTAAGTAGCTTAAAACAGCTGTGACATCTGAGAACCAACCCATAATCAGTGTTTAGCCTGTGTATTCAACATCTGGTAAGAATTGGCATTCAAATTCCAAAGACACGAAACACATCCACTAAATGGTCATTTGTGAATGTTTGAATTTTATCACTTATAAGCGGGGATGCATAGGCAAACCTACATACATGTACATGCTATAGGTGTAAGAATCTCTTAACATCGTGGGCATCCCATGAATCATCTATATGTCATAAAAAGAGTACAAAAACCTGTGCTGTATTTACTGATTTATGTATGTTACTGAGCAAAGTTGATGGATTAGCTCTGGCTAAGGACATTCTGTGTATAATGCCCTTGCTCTGGTTAAGTGGAATAATTGAAAATTAAACAGATGAAGATGAACGTTGTGTTGCAATTATTGCCTTCATCAGAAGAGTATGTTTTCGGTTCTGGTAGAGTGACTCTGGTGTGGGTCTGTATGTATGTCAACAGTATAACTCAAGAAGCTGTGGATGGGTCTTCATGATACATGTATTTGGTAGGTTTAAACATGGTTCACCTGGTGTTTTCCAACAGAACTGCAGCATTTTTTTTATGCATTTGTGTGAATGCTATTAGTATTTACTGAAAATTTACTAATATAGGAGAGTTGGACACGTACACTTAATGGTAAATTCAGGAAGGCTTCGGAAAAATTCTCATGTTTCTTTGGCATTCATATGATGCATGGCAAAACTGAGTCTGCGGACGCCGGACGCTCCATTGTGATGATTGGGCATTCAACTAGGCCATACGAAGAAGTTTTCAAAACAAAGTGCTACTTCTTCTCTTCTTCTTCTTATCCAAGTTTTACGTCTATTGATTCCCCGTATTTCGGGGGTATAGACGTGCTTGCACAGGTGCATGTTTGGGCTTGGGCTACTGCTTGGAATAATTTCCCGACAACGATTGTTATTATCATGGAGGTAGAAAAAGCTTTCTACCTCTATGTTATTATAAAAGGACTGCTACGATTATCGGTTAATTACCAATAAAAATGACTATCCTTCACGGAAAAACGCATGCAGACCCTCTGAAAGCCGGGGTATACTGTCTAGTAGTACATATGGTGCCGAAAAACTGTAACGTTCAATACCGTACAGTAGTCAGTACAGGATTTGTATTCTGGTCTATTCGCGCGCTCTGCAAATGACGTCAGAGGATGCGTCCAATTAGATTGTCTATGTGCCTTATTGAGTTTTGTTTCCGTGAGCTAGCAGTCTAACATATCACCATATCAAATTATTAGAAATATCTTTAAGCTTTTATGCCATTTTTGCGCAAATAATGGGGTTTCTATCTTACATTCCAAGTAAGATATAAAAGAATTGCTGATAGGTGAAGATATGAACTCCCCTGTGAAGAATTCGAATCGCCCGCCTTGCTTCCGGTCGCCATTTTGCTGTGTCTGGAATAAAACCAGCCCGTTGTGGTGTAGTAGGGACACACAAAAAAACTGTCAGCCATGGAAAACGGGGACTCCTTTCTACATGCACTAGAAGGTAAAACAATTCGTCAGGCTACGGTGTAGAGATGGGAGGTATAAGCGAGGGAACTTAAAGCAGAAGTTAGGAGTATTTGAGGATCTTTTGTAGCGATCTGCGCAACCTAAGATGAGCGCTGAAAAAATCTGAAGTCACAGTGGTGGGGAGGGTGGAGCTATTATAAAGTGTTATATTTTTACAAGTATATGAGGAATATACATAAGTTTTATCTGTTCTATGAAATGCATGTCTTTCCTTTATAATTCCACTTAGGACTAGAACTACTGAATTGGAAGGTTTAGGTCACCGTTGGCAAGGAGCCAGCATTTTTACTTTGTGAAAGAATCTCATAATTTTATTATCGTTATATGATAATTATTGTATTGAACAAATTTCTTGTACTCATATGTAAACATGTTGCAAAATAAAAGTTGAATGTTAAGTTAAATCTATGTTACTAAATATGAAAAACCAAAACCAAAAAATTTTGGTCATGATGATAGCTTATGAAAATTATGATTATGATAAAAGTTTCATGCAAATTGCTTTGTAATTTGTTCGTTCATGTTCATTTGGATGATTTTTTCCCCTTGCAGACTTTGAGAAAAGGAAGGAACTGACCCCAGAACTGGAACAGTATCTGCGACACATAGCAAAGACAGGAGAAACAATGTAAGTAAATTCCTAACTCTACTCTACTCTAAACTACATAAATGTAAAAAAAGGGAAGTAATTGCACAAGTATGTTAAAAACTGGAAGTAAATGCCAATCTCATGAAGATTTTCTTAAGTTAAAATACTAGTACGTAAATGTATTTCAATTTTTGGTGCAAAAATGTTACATACAATGCCCCTTTAAGGTCTAATGTTTTTCTCTATACTTCAGATACCCCTGGAACAGACTGAAGCCAGTCTTCCTCCTCAAGCTGGAGAAGGTCATGCAAGAGTTCAACGAGGAGGCGCCGAAAGTGGACGGACCGCCGACGCCCAACGTGGAGAATCTCTCGTACGAGGAGATGAGGGAGAGAGTCGTCAGTATCATCGAAAGTTTCACAGGGTAGGGAGAAATAACTACATGTAACATTCCTCTTGTTCATAGAAGTATAGATTATCTAGTTTCATATCTATGTTTGATCTCATGTTTTGTGATATTACTTGTAGATTTTGTAGGCCTTCTTTTAATTTGTAGAGGCAATGTAGCCTTTGATTTCATTCATTTGCTAGAAACTACATTGTCAGCAAATTTTGTACTTCATTATGGATGGGTACTGGTTCAGCTGACCCTGTATATAACACCCAAGAACTGCATCCAAAAGCCTGAAAGTAGCGATTTATTTTTTTTATTCATGATGAAATACAATTTTACAAATGTTTTATGAACATTTCAACAACTCTAGGAATGAGCAATCCACCGCTTCTGTGACATCACATTACGTAGCTGATACACACATACATGATATGAAAAAAATTCTATGAAAGCAAGCTACTGTGGGGTCTTGAATGTAATAAAATGATTTGTTTGCTCCATACAGTCCACCCTTCACCATGCAAAGACTGTGTGAGCTGGTCACAGACCCCAAGAAACATTACAAGAGAAGTGACAAGTTCCTGAGAGGGGTGGAAAAGGTACTGTTTTTCATACATAGTTCATACAGTTTGTTGACGGCGTTCAATGCAATTTCATTGCAGCAAAGCCGAAAATATTCTGGATGAGGAAATCTATCTGATATTGACTTTAACATTTAAAATACATTTTTTGTAGCCCCAAATCAAACCACGTGAGAATTCCCTTTATTTATTTCTATAAAACGGGTCCAAGCTACACGTGATCCAGTTCTCATGACATGACCTACTTACACTGTAGGGGCCTCACCTTTTGTGCAAGGTCATTGACCTTTTCACAGTCACATAAGATCTATGTTGATAGTTAAGATATAGATGTCCTGAATTGATCCGTAAGAAAATCTGAAGTGTGTTAAGCAGATTTAGATGGGATAGGAAAGGGCAAATGATATGTGCTTGTAAGGTCAGGGCTTGAAATTCCATGTGCATATAGAGATAATAATAGTATGTATACATACTAGTATATATAATATGCAGGTTAGTGCAGGTAGAACTGAAGCTGTGCAGGTATTTCTGATATCTACCTGCTCTAACATGCACCAGTCCATACATGTTGGTGTACATGGATTTGTATTTGCTGTATTGCTGTTTTCAATGTCAGTACATTGCAATTATTGGCCTTGGCAGGTTTGAAACCCATTCAAATTGCTGCTGTGAATGAAAAACAAGTACCATTTAAATTTTTCATGTTGTTATAATTAGTGTGCCGAGAGATCAATGTGTCTCATGGGTAAATACTAGTAACCAAGTGTCCAAATATAGAATGGATCATCATGGCTTGTCATGTCTCTTATCAGAAGATGTCCATTCAAATAATCGACCTAGACCATAAATAAATTGTTGTTAACCTTTCCTCTTGTCCCACTCCAGAACGTGTTGGTAGTCAGTACAGTCCATGGAGGTGCAAGGTAACTATGTTTCTAAGCTACGTGTACTCATTGGGTCTTCAGAAGTTACTTGGTATTTCTTGATTAAGAGAGCGAGTGTTGAAAATACGTAGATGTATCTTGTTATGTTTATTACTGCATGTATGTTTTTGGCTTCTTTATCTTGAGAAATGGTGCTAAGCTTGTACCAAATCATCATTTCAGGATGTATGCTCTCTTTGTGTTAAGCTATGAATGAACAAAGAAACGAAAATTGAAAAAAATGGTTTATGAACAAGTGGTACATGACAACCAAAAGCTGGATTGCATACACTGTACAATATCTTATAAAAACACACAAATGCATGCGCAAGTGCAGTATGTTCTGCCATCCCGCTGAAGTATGGTACGGCCTGTACTTTGGAGTGATGGACCAGTTCTGTTGACTTCCCCACAGCAGACGACTGTCAGCAGGCGGAGACAAACTGGTGAACGGGATCGCGCCACAGGAGGCAGGAGCAGACAGCCTGTAAGAATTTCAACTCCAGAAGGAGTGCTATTTTCTGACATTGATTTTAGGAAATGCATATTACTTTACAGTATACAATAAACTATTATGTGCACAAGTATAAAATGCATCAAGTTCAGAACAAACTTCCCAAATACTCTCTAAACTATCCCATTGTGTGTAGCTTTTGTCTTTGTTAAGGGATGGTTGCAATGCCCTGATGTAGATCTTGCATTCAAACTTGCTTTATAATGACTTCTACCAACAGAGATGAACTTTCAAGAGATAAACAGATTGTTGATTTGTTTTGTTCTGCAGATCTGTTGCCATGCCGCCCCCACCATGCCCCGCCCCTCATCTCCCTCCAATCGTCGGTGCCTCTCCCCTTCCCCTTCCACCCCCCGACCACGATCACTTAGAAACGCCGAGTCTCGGGGCCTCTCCATCTGTCTGTAACGACATCTCCGACACCACAAGTCCGTCGAGTCCCGGCATGACAGACCATGCGGGCACAAACGGAGGAGACTCACACAACCAATCAGGGGACACGACAGTAGATAAAGAAGACGACAGTTTACAGAACAGCACATACACAGAACAGTTAGAGGACAGAAGTAGGATAGCGGACGATATGGGTGGGGAGGACAGTGCGCCATCAGACAGTTCCACTTCAGAAGATTCCTCAGAGAGCTCGCTGTCAGACGACACGCCAACGTGTACCTCAGCAGCCGACGGCAATCTTTCAGGCGCTGGAAACTCCGCAGAGACGTCCACAGAACCAACGTCCAGCTCAGAGGAGAAGATGTTTCCCGTCGAACCCACAGAGACAGGACGTAGGGACACGACGGAATCATCGGAATCGTCAGACATGAGCACCGAGGACAAGGACAGTGAGAACACCAGGCCAACCAGAGCGTGTACAAGGTCAGCTGACGTTCTAGAAGAGGATCAGGAGGATTCAGGTAAGCCGGCTGGTCCTTTTCTTGTGCCAGGGGGCAACAAGTTTCCATTTTCTAGATTTTTAGCTGCTCAAATATTCTCAAATAAATATAGCCTCCACGTAACCTTCCCATCATTTCATCACACTTTTAGGATCCCCTCGTAAAATCAGAAGGATAGAAGAACCACAGCCAAGCGACCAATCAGAGCAGGCCACTCCATCACACGACCAAGCTGCCACTAACCAACCAGATCCAAGTAGCGAACATGAAACAACCCCAGCCAGCCAATCAGAGGAGAGCTCAGAAGAGCAGAAGGCAGAGGATGCGGAGGAGCCAATGGAGCAGGACTGAGGTGGTTGCCATGACGATGTGGAACACTGTAGGTAGTTTGTGGAGTAGACTTTGTGTTGATTGGCTGAAGATAATGTCATTAAAGGGACTGTCCAATGGATGTAGAGTATCAGCTGGCCATAATGTTGTCCTGGCAAAGGTATCAAATTACATGTGAGAAGTATGATAGCTGTAGATTTCGTATTTGAAAGGGGACTTGGGTTACAGCTGTGAGTAGTGTGGCTATGGCAACTTCACTTCCAGCCTTATAAGTTATAATAATGCAATTGTATTGGATACACCTTGTGTACAAAAAAACCCACAAGTCAAGTGTATATATAGACAAATTATGTCGTAACTTAAATGGTCGGCAGTTTCAAACTAAGCAAGACCTCTGTGTGTACATGTATCTATCTTAGGAATGTTGTCAGTAGTGGTACATTGCCCCCCCCCCCTCCTCAGCCCTTGTTGGTTTTTAGGAATTAGATGCATTGAAACTAGAGCTATGCAGCAACTGCCACTTTTTGAATTAAGCATTGACCAGCAGTACCATAAGACCACAGTTAGCACAGGTATTCATACTGTAAAGGCATCCAATGCAATTTCAGGGCAGCAAAGCAAAAGATTTCTGGATGAGGAAGTCTGTCAGATATAGAAAGTTACTGCCGTTTCTAATCACATTTTTGTGATTATTTCATTTTCAAGAGCTTGAAATAGCCCCTGAACAAGCTGCATGTATGTGAGGAGTCCCTTTATTTTTTGGTTACCACCAGTCAATCAACCAGTCCATTAAGAGCAATCATTTTCCATCAGCGACAATGCATTTTTGCCTCATTGTGCTGATGTTGATTCTACTTACTACATTAAAAGAATGACCAGAAAATAAATTGCATTGGATACCTTTTAATCTGTTACACAAAGATGTATTTCTGTGGCCATAAAAGCGTGATGTTTATCATGTCTAAATGCTGTTCTTCATTCACAAAGGGCTGTGCAAATGTTTGCTTAGCATGAAGGCCATTGCAGTTCCTGTCAAAACAGTGCATCTGAGGAAGGCTTCCAAAATTAACCAGAAAAACCATAGTGTGGGTCTAGTGGGACAGGAGATGTCAAATCAAACACAGCTTCTGAATACTGTGGGAGTCCTAAAAAAAGGCCAGCAGTTTTGTCATGGCCCCATCCAGGTTAGGTGCAGGTAGACATCAGAAATACCTGCACAGCTCCAATTTTACCTGCACTAACCAACATATGCAAGTGGTATTACAAGCCCCGTACATGGACTTTCCTTTGGAAATGATTTTGCTTCCCACACTTTTTTTTGGCACACATGTTTTTCCTCTTTCTTTTTATCAAGTAACAACAAAGAGTGGTAGTGCAGACAAAATTATAACTGCCATTAGGTGAAGGTATTTTTGACTTCTCTCGGTTTCCTTGATCAAAAACCAAAGACTATTAAACTGATGTGGTCTGAGTAGTGTACGGTTAAAGAGTATTGTGCATAAATGTTGACTGTGGATTCCATGAGTGACTTTCAGAGTTGTACTTGTTGCTTCAGGCAAAGTTGTGCAAAATCATGTCCTATTTGTACACATGTACGTAATACATTCCCTTGATGTGGGATGCATGTAAATGTCCCGGACAATTGTATGTTACTGGGTGTAACTAAAGTCAGTTCATGGTCTTCTGGATGTGTATCATTCTCATCATAGTGGTACTCACCATGTTCCAAAACAATCAGTTCACACAGAATCAGTTCTTAGAGCCTGGATAGGAAATCATCATCTGATTGTTATTTACCTACACTCTTCAACATACCTGTATTATTATTATTTCACATTTCTGACACATTTTTGTGACACCACCACAGCATACCAGAATGTAAACAAACATGACTCACAACTGTGTTTCCAGCTTTTGTGGTGTAATATTTGGTCATCTCAACTTCATGAATAACACTTTATAATAAATTATTTGCAATGGAGTATTGCTTCAACTCATTTTGTAAAGAAATGACCAGAAAAAATTTACTTTTTGCATTGTCCTAATGTTATGTAATGGAGTTTAACAACAAACTAACACACCTCTCATGACTGAGTAGCACAGTGTACTCTCAGCAACAGAGAAAATTTATTCAAGAAGAAACAAGCTTCCCCTTAAATATGTCTGCAACATAAGTTAGTATAGCACTGGGATGAGAATGGAGAGCTTGTGTTTCTATGAAAATGTGTCATGTGTAACTGTAAATACGGTCTCATCCAATCTCGATGTGGAATCATCCCACAGTGCAAACATTTGTATTTTGTAGCTAAGAAGGTTATTAATTAGTGTTGCATTCCAGTGTATTGTAACAAAATGAATTCTGAATAAGGAAATCATTATGTGGATGATTTCGATAAATCAATTGTAAAGGATTTTGTTGTTTTTGCTTGTCATTACATTCTAGGCTTACCATGAAACATGTAACATAGTCATCCATTTTTATGTCAATTTTATGCTTCCGTTGTTATTCCAGAAGACACTTAACAACTTATCGAGCTGATAGGTTAGATTATGTTAGCTTTTGTTCTGTTTTAGGAAATGCAGAAGCTGCCATGTTTATTGCAATGCCCCGTTAACGTTTATGTTATCAAGACATAGTCCTTCTCGGACTTAAGTTTTCAAGTTGTATTATCTGAGAGATGTCTTGCTTAATATGATGCATCTTCACAATGTTGCAGGTGAATTCCCTTCAAAATTGGCAGTTTCACACTTGTACATTTTGCATGCTTTTTTTTGGCCAGTATCACTGAGCTGTACATCAGCTTTCAGCGCCCCCTAGCACATTCTTCTGGTTATGCACTTGTCAATATCCATGGTATATGATTGTAAGGCAAGTAACCATTTTTTTGTTGTTAAGGATCACAAATCCTGCCATGACCCATGAAAGTTGTACTGCCCTGAGGCAGCTGGATTAACCATTCTGTGACTGTGAAAGATCGAAATCATTTTATGTTCAGTCTTTGTAGTGGAGAGTTGTCAAATAAAGGATTTGTTTTTAAGTAATAACATCATTGTGTGTGTCTCTTTTTTCACTAAAAATCCTTAACATTATGCATATGTCATAGAAAGGGTGACTTAAAGGCATGCTAAACCAGTATTAACATGAAGAATTTTTTTTCTGCCCTTTTGACATAAGGAAGAGTTCTAGAGTTCCAGGTACAACATGATTATGTACAACATGATATTACAGGAGACAATTGTATCAGGAGAAACTATTAATATAGATATTATTGCACTATTGTAAAGCATAGCTATGTACATCGGTATATACATTATTGTAGTTGCAATGTTCGATGCATAACACACCATTTCTGAAACACTTGCCAGAATTGAAAAATTCTTACATCTTATTACGTATACGAGTGGTTTTACATACACAGTTTCAAGTTTCAAGTTTATTTATTTATTTAACCAGGATATAACTCAGATCTACCGATCTGCTTTTCAGTTATTCCTGGGAACTCAAGCCAAGGTACATTTAAAATACAGTATATCACAGAGAAAAAAAAAAATCACAATGACGTTACATTACATCACAATCAATTACATATAAATCACAGTGTGCACTGCTACAGTTACAGTCACATTCAGTAAACCGGTCCCTTCACAGTCTGGTTTTGAACACAGACGTTGATGTTATTTGCCGTTTGTCAACAGCTAGTCTGTTCCACGCTAGTGGCCCTTGACAGTAACTAGTAGCATGTAGTCTTTGCTTCTTACAATGGAAATGAGATTTTGGTGACGCCACAGAGGCGGAGGCACATTCAAAAGCTGTAATCATTATAACCATAGACAGATGGCACAAAGGATAGCTAGACCTCCAAGGCATAACTCTACTGGTGTTTGAATGTCCCAGAGGTACTGATCGATGATATGATAAACTTGTCATGCAGTGCTGTCAGTCACCGCAATGCCCAGTGCATTGAACTCGTCCATTCTGAAATATTAGGCAAAGAGACATCTGTTAGTTGGAAGTTAGCATGTATCTTCTCTAACAGTTATTGGTGCTGAACACCATCCACACACAGAACAAACATGCCTGTCCTTGGTGCTGAACACCATGCACACACAGGTAAACATGGCTGTCCTTGGTGCTGAACACCATCCACACACAGGTAAACATGCCTGTCCTTGGTGCTGAACACCATCCACACGCAGGTAAACATGCCTGTCCTTGGTGCTGAACACCATCCACACACAGGTAAACATACCTGTCCTTGGTGCTGAACCCCATCCACAACACAGAACAAACACACCAGTCCTTGTTACTGAACACGATCCACACACAACAAACAACGAACAAACACCATGCCCTTGGTGCTGAATGTCGTCCACACAAAAAACGAACACCCCTGCCCTACAGTCCACTTCTGTCCAAAATGCATGCAAAGACTTGGGTTGTCACAACAACTTGAGTGTCACAAGTTGACACAAGTAAAACTGAAGTGACTTACGCGCCATAGAGGGGGTTCTCCACCTCAACATTCTCCACATCAGCACCCGGATAATCTCTAAAAACACGAACAAGTATATGCAGATATATTTGCAAATAAGTGTAACATCTTCTGATAAAATAAAATTGTAACTTGTGGGATCTGTAGCCCTTTTTCTTTTAAGATGACAAGCTACTGGTGACAAGCAAGTAACGCAACATTGCTTTGTTAGGGTTACGAACATACAGAAATATGAGCACTGTCACCGTGAGTAGTCCACATGGTACATAGTATACGACCATAGGCATATAATGGAAGCAAAAGTGAATCCAGAAAGTAACGTACGTGTTGTGGTTGTTGCTCGCATCTAGTCGTTGCATCGGTACATTGCAAGCCTCAGAATTCCTGTAATATCATGTAGCACTATAAGATGTTGTAGCGCGGAAAAAAAATCAAGCAACAGTTCACCGGTCAAATAATTAGACTAAGGGATAGATGAATAGGGTGAGATGACATTGACAGTCCTTAATAGTTACCTTAAATTGCGCCTTCTACATATGAAGACAGTAACGCCCACTCCGACCAGGACCGCTACTCCCCCTGCGGCGCCTGCAGCAGCGAACACCGCGGTGTTACCGCCTCTTCTCCCGCTATCGCCGGACTGTGCCGCCTGGTCACCGTCCTTAGCTGCTGTCGTGTGCTTCGGAGAATAATTTTCGGTTGTCTTGATTGAATAAGGTTTTGTAGTTTTCACAGGAAGCGGTGGGATGGTCCTCTTTGATGTTGACGCCTCCCTTATCGTTGTATGGACAGGCGGTGTTGTCACCGTTGTTGTTGTCGATGTTTCCACCCACGTTGGTGTGGTTGATGTTGTCGTATCTGTAGGAGGCAGTGTTGTCATTTTTGTTGTAGCTGCCGTTTCTAGCTCGGGTGTCATTGGCGTTTCTGCCATTGGTGCAGTTGTTGGAGGCTGTACTGTTGTTGTAGCTGCCGTTTCTATCTGGGATGTCGTTAATGTTGATTTTGTTGTAACTGTGGAAGCCTCTGACATCGTAGCTGTCGTCAAACCAGTTGTAGTCTGGCTGAGAGTGGTCGATGACAGTTCCGTTGTCCTAGATTGTGTAGATGGAAGTACGGTCGGTTGTATTGTTGCAGGAGTTGTTGTAACTGTAGGCTGTGTCGTTGACATGCCAGGTGTTTGGATTGTTGTAATTGGTTGGGATGTGGGGAGGGCAGTTGTAGACGGGATGACAGTGGTTGTCATTTCAGTAGTTGTAGATTGTGTAAACGGAGGGAAAGTTTCTTGTATAGTCGTCGCAACTGTCGTCTTGTAGCCATCAGTTGACAGAACAGACGTAGTTTCAGGAGTTGTTGTTACTTCTTGGGCTGTGGTTAGGGCAGTTGTAGTGCGCGGTGCCGTAGTTCCCGGTCGGACTGGTGGATCGTCTGTGATGTTGGGAAAGAAGACAATGGTATTCCATTTTTACAGTTCACACTAACAACGAGGAAGCTACGTATAGTTTACAACACAAGGGACAAGTTGCTTACCTTCACATCCCAGCAACTCTATTTTCAGACGTATCAAAGTCCCCGTGAACTCTTGAGGGTTCACTCGCACGATGGACGCAATGAACGGCATGTCCAGGTCATTAGTGACCACCGTCGTTCCGTCCGCATTCGCATTAAAGACCTTAAGGGGCGATGGAAAAATATTTAGAGACTATTTATTCCTCTGATCTGTAGCATGCCACTAAAAACAAAATTCCACAACCAGCCTACCAAATTCCATGAAATTAAAAGCTACAAGTCACTGATACCTTGCTACTGTTAGCTCCAGTCTCTGTGTACATTGACAGCCCGTCCTCTTTATCTCCGTAGAGAAGCCTGTAACTCTTGACATGCCCTCCCCACAAACCCTGTGTCTGGATCCCGGTGATGATGGTTCTGTTGTTAAACCTGACCTGTATCCACTGGTTAGAGTCAGAAACGTTGGCTTCCCAGGCACGAGGACCGTTCAGTCGGCCTTTGTAAGCCTCGTACCCGGTCTTCTCCGAAGATGCCGAGATCTGGTTGTCTTCGATGTCACCGTTTTCCATCCCCAGTGGCAGCAGACATGAGGATTTGGACACTACATAACAAGAACGACACGTTTGTAATGATAGTTTGAAAGTTGGCCACAGCTATGTCAGAAGAGGAGAACACCAATGAAAAAAGCCTGAAGTACATTATGATATGAAAAGTACCTGTACATCGTGTCCCCACGTACTCCGGCGGACACAGGCACTGGTAACCGTGATGTACATTCTCACATGTCCCTCCGTTAGCACAGGGCGACGAGGCACAGTGGTCGACGTCTTATGAAACAAGAAATGCTTTTAAAGAAAATTGGGAAGGGGCCAATTGCAAGATGGGAATGTGATGAAGATGTGTGACTCAAATATTTGGTCATCTTGGTGACTTGAATTAAATTGAAAAGCCGTCAAGCCGAGGGTCTTGTGGATCTCGGCAAAACAACAAATAGCCATACATTCAGACAATACAATTCAGTAGTGTCTGAAAATGCTCGTTAGAGAGGCAAACACAAAACAGGTCCGTAAAATTCCATTAAGGAGGATCCCAGAACCTCCATACTCAGACGTATCAAATTATTCGTGAAATCTTGAGGGTTGCAATTGACTCGTACGATGGATGCAATGATTTGTCTGTCAAGATCATGACTCACTACTGCAGTACCATCGGAATTCGCATCAAATCAGATACACAGGTAACACCGCAGAAATCAGACCTCCAACGGACAAGAACCGTACCTTCGCATCCCAGCAACTCCATCCGAAGACGTATAAAGGCAGAAGTGAAGTCTTGAGGGTTCACTCGCACGATGGGCGCGATGAACGGTCGGTCAAGGTCATGGCTCACAACTGTCGGGCCATCGGAATTTGCATCAAAGACCTAGATTTAAATACAAAGAACGACCGTGAATTGCCTGTGAATGTGCCACAATATCAAGATATCTTGTAAAGCTACTGATGTTGATGTTTATGCTCGACGTGAAGAAAAATATCATTGTCAGGTTCAAAGCCGACATAGAGCAAGTTACAAGTCACTGATACCTTGCTACTGTTGGCTCCAGTCTCTGTGTACATTGACAGTCCGTCCTCTGTATCTCCGTAGAGAAGCCTGTAACTCTTGACATGCCCTCCCCACAAACCCTGTGTCTGGATCCCGGTGATGATGGTTCTGTTGTTAAACTTGACCTGTAACCACTGGTTAGAGTCAGAAACGTTGGCTTCCCAGGCACGAGGACCGTTCAGTCGGCCTTCGTAAGCCTCGTACCCGGGCCTCTCTGAGGATGCCGAGATCTGGTTGTCTTCGATGTAACCATTTTCCATCCCCAGTGGCATCAAACATGAGGATTTTGATACTGAATGACAATAGCAAGAACAGGAAATCAAAACTTATAATATCGGCAAGACTAGAAACAGCTACATGTATATTTTACCGATGCTGCTATGATACTAAAGAGGCAGAAAGCATGATGATTTTGATACTGTATCATCAACATGTAGGTTCAGACGACGATATCTTTTTCAGATGTCAGAAGGCAGTTGGCCTACATCATGATTTGAAGCTTACTTTGACACCGGGTTCCAACATACTCTGACGTACACAGGCACTGGAAACTGTCCGGTATCTCCACACATGTCCCACCGTTAGCACAGGGCGAGGAGGCACAATGGTCGACGTCTGGTGAGAAAAATTAAAAAGATATCATTGCACGAAGCATTGGCATACGTGCGCTTCATTGGTGTCAGGGTGTCTGTTGAACAAGGCAAAACAAGAATTCGTAGACCGTAAATCTCCAGAGAGACAGACAGACAGACAGACAGACAGACAGAGACAGAAAGACAAATATACAGACATCCCAAGACCAATGACTCAGTATTTTATACGGAGGTAACAAAACGCATTTGCTATAAACCCGTTTTTTTGCACTCTGGCTCAGGACTTCTTACCTTCACATCCAAGAACCTCCATTCTCAGACGTATCAAGTTATTGGTGAAGTCCTGTGGGTTTACTCGTACGATGGATGCGCTGATCGGCAGGTCAAGGTCATGGCTCACCACTGACGGACCATCGGAATTTGCATCAAAAACCTGGAGACAAAGACGAAACACGACAAGGAGAGCATCGTGCATGATGGCGCAAGGAGGGAAGGTGCTGTGCATATGGCGCTTGAAATATTAGTATTTACCTTGCTGCTGTTGGCTCCAGTCTCTGTGTACATTGACAGCCCGTCCTCTGTATCTCCGTAGAGAAGCCTGTAACTCTTGACATGCCCTCCCCACAAACCCTGTGTCTGGATCCCGGTGATGATGGTTCTGTTGTTAAACTTGACCTGTAACCACTGGTTAGTGTCGGAAACGATTGGTTGCCAGGCACGAGGACCGTTCAGTCGGCCTTTGTAAGCCTCGTATCCGGACTTCTCCGAAGATGCCGAGATCTGGTTGTCTTCGATGTAGTCATTTTCCATTCCCAGTGGCAGCAAACATGACGATTTTGACACTAGATGAGAACAGCAAGAACAAAATATAATAATATGTCTGTTTCTATATAATAACAGAGATCGTTGTTTTTGTCGTATGATAAAATGTACTACTTAATAAAAATGTATCATATATATTATTACTATATCATATCATATCATATTATATATAACGTCGTCGAAGTGAAACAACTTACCTTGACACCGTGTGCCGACATACTCCGGTGGGCACAGGCACAAGAAACTGTCTGGTCCACTCACACATGTTCCCACATGAGTACAGGGAGAGGAGGCACAGTGGTCGACGTCTGAGGTAAAGAGGCATTATGTAACATTTTTTCAAAAAAATTGAGTATTGTAATTGTCAACATTAAGTATCATTATCAAGAGCCATCTATTTCAAATACAAACAGAAAGACTAAAATCAAGAAGTTAGTGGATGATATGACAGTTAAAAACAGTTCTCTGCCATAGTCAAGAATTACCTTGACATCGTGTCCCGACATACCCAGGCGGACACCGGCAGTAGAAATCGATCCTCCTGTCCACACATGTCCCTCCGTTAGTACAGGGAGACGATGCACAATGGTCGATGTGCGGTTCAACTGTTAGGAAACAAGAAGCGATTTTAGAAAAACTGACCGGGGCCAAGATGAGAACAGCTGGTTGGGTGGCGTGAGAGTGATGACGATGTGTGACTCAAATAATTGGTCACCGTGGACTGGACAATAAGTAAAAAGTACTGCGTGATCATGAGGCAAGAATGCTGCATAGACATAGGGGCATCTCAAATGATTCACACACAGGCAAGCTATATAGAGAGACAGAACATGCATTTACTTTATGTTCAAGCCGTCGATAATGGCCCGAGAAGCAAACCAATGATAAATGTTGCGATGCTTGTATTTTTAGCAATAGTTACTGTAACTAAAGCACAGACGAAGGCACCTGTTTCGCATTGCAAGCCAGTGAAGCCAGCAGCACAAGAGCAGCTGTAACCGGTCGGTGTGTCTGTGCACGTCCCTCCGTTAAGGCACATTACATCAGCGCATTCAGCATAATCTTCAGTTTGAAAGACGTTCGAATATCATGTTAAAAATACACTGACCACGTGCATGAAAAAAAATACAGTTGTTAACGTACCATGACAATCTTGAACTAACCCCAACAACCCTACAAAATACGTGAGATACGCACACCCATTTCACATTTGAAGCCTATCAACTTGATTCGTTTACATGTATCATAACGGCTAGTTGTCACACTTGTGGTATGCAGTTTTAAATCATAATATCAATCCAATCAAAGTACTAGTATGATCAATGATACCTGGGAAAGAAAACCTAGCAACGAAGCCTTCTCCGGGTTGTCCTGTTCCACCGTATCTTCCCGAGTAGTAATGAACCAAGAGAGACCCAGGTGTAGACATAATCACATTTGGTGGGACAAAGTTGTCATCTCCACAGTACTGGCCTAGTAACGGGTCCGATGTGGACGAACCGTCATATATTGACACAGTTGGTTCATCCGAACTACACTGATGAGGGACCGTGAAGAAATTGAAGACTTCAAACTGCAGTTGAACTCGTCCTATTGGTGCTTCGATGATCCACTCGCACGTGGCATCCGCTTGGATCGCGTTCGGGTAGTTAGGAGACGTGAAGCTTTTTATAGGACTGTCTTTGTTTAGTGTTCCTCCACAGGTCTGTCCCATTGAACCTAGAAAATTGTTACCTTGGCATGAACATTTGAAACATAGGAGGCCACATCAAATCCACATATACATGTATCTGTGGAAAAGTACTTTATTTATTTATTCGTTTATTACTCCGTGAAAGAAGCCAGTGATACTTTAGAGTTTGGAGTAGCCTACCAATGTGTCTTTTGTCACTGTCTATAACTCAGGTAGAAGACTTTTGTCAAATTTTTTTTCTGGAACAATTTCAACGTATTAAGATAGAAAGCCTATATTACTGTGACAGTCTTTTCTTTACTCTCTGCCGTCTGAGTCATATTTATCCAGCGACTGTCAGATAGCGTCGTCAGGGGAAAACCAAGAATTTTGTTTGCTATGAGGAAGCAATAAGTGACAAGTTAAGACATATTAAAGACTGATGTAAGACCGTTTGGTTGTCACACCGTAATAGTCTGTCACCTTTTCATGATCTCTTCTGGTCTAAGTCTCTATGTGTCAAATTTGACTATTTGCTATTGTACACGGCTGTTGTTAGTAAATTTTAAAGTACGTTGAGAACTTAACCCTGGGCCAAAGTTTCTGGCCATTGTTTGGTGAGCAAATTCTGCCCACGGCGGTACATCAATATATCGTTGGTGAGCCATAATATTTATCTAGTGAATCGACACGCGTGTATGACCCGACTATTTGAAGGCCAACATTGATATCTTACCAAAGATATACAGTATCTACCTTTTTGTAATTAAAAAACGGGGAGTTAAGAAACAGCAATTTACACGGCTATTTAGCTATTGAGATAAATGAGCCGTTGGGTAACACTTTAAATGCCATGAGAGCAAAACGCTTGGGACAAAGAAGAAATAATTTTTAAAAAAATTGTAAGTAAAATGATAATCAGTGTTCAAATATCAGAGATCATCAATGTTTTACCCTTTGTACAACATAATGTCACCATTGCATGTTGACGGGGGCACGAATCTATTTTCCGTTAGTACAGAATCATTTTTACCAACAATTCTACAAATGTGGCATGTCACATGTATGGCTTACAAGGCGTCAAACGCAACATCAGAAAATGACGACATACACATATAGATGGAACGCACCACCAATTGTATGGCCCTGATCTTTGTAACAATGAACAAAACTCTGCGAATAACAAGAACAAGAGCCGACGTTTTTCGATAACCGTCTGTCATCTTCTTCAGGACAATTATGACTGGTGTTTCTAACCTAATGAAACTATTAACGGTTATATTTTGTAGTGTTTAGTTGGATTGTTAAAAGTTTCAGAGAACACACTCACCAGATACTGCTAGATCCATCAACATCAGAACTAGCAGCCCTGTTAAAACGTAACTGCGATGTGAAACCATTTGCTCGCTTGGATCCCTCTAACACTTTGAAATTAAAAAGAAAATCCGCGACGATTCAACTACACAACCATTTGACATCTGTCAAAACTCTTCTTAAGCTTCAATTTGTGTTACGTAAGCCTATCCCAAAATCCTTTGCGGCAAACAAATCTATTCTCGACCAATGGTATGATACCGTTAGCGGTGACTGACAGTGGATTGTTCTCCGTGGCTCCCGGAGTTATCTTGTGGAAACAGCAGGGTGTTTGTACTAACAAATACAAACTGATACGTCCAACATGTATGTCCCGACTCCCTTCAGAATGTACTGTAGTTTTAAGACCAGCCCGTGTTATGTATTGTATGTATTGTATACGTAATTGTGGTACGTATCACCCATCATTTACTATATGTAGCGTTACTAGTAACATTGCTGTGCTATTTGAGCACGGATCTATAACTAAAATCTTGCTTTAACGTTAACATGTTATGCATTTCAAGATTTTGTTGTACACTGCAACGTATTGCACAGGATTGTAAAAGACCTAGACAAACACATTCCATGATACATTATTCAATTTATTGCACTTAAATGAAGCATGGCTTTGTACAGTTTTTTCTACAATGACAATGAATTGCGTGGGTAATATGATAGTAGCTGCAATGTACATACAGATGGCTTTCTTGGGTACGCATGTCTTTTTATCTATGCTCAATGGCACTAAGGTTGCAACTGTCTTGAATTTCAATGATTTCACATAACTTTATACAAAACATGATGCGAAAATGCGTTGCATGGGATGCTCTTGTTAAATACATTTCATTGTCATAAGTCATCATCAAAATGTTATATCGTCAGTTACTCTCTGTGCGAAATAGGTGTCAACATGATATTATACAGAGGAATCTCTGTCCATGAGAATAAGAAACGAAATGGACAATATTTGTAATATAGGATAATAGGAGGTTTTTAAAGCTAAAGAAGGCGAAGAATTTGTGCATGTAATTTTGGTCCCAAACAAAGCGAGTGTACACAATTGTCTATTTTGCCGATGTAGAGTGGAGGAAGATGTTTGGTTCAAAGTCATGATATAAGACCATCATGCACAGCTGTCATTCACGGCAATGCCCAGTTTATCGGTCGGTTCTTCCATTCTGAAATATCAGAGAAGGCTTCACAGAAATGTGTATACACATACAATGCAATATAGGTTATCTAATACGTGATACGACCCAGAAAATATAGATATTTCTCAAAGAAAAACCACTTTACCACCACATTTATGATTATGTAACAGTCGAGTAAAAATAGAAGTGACTTACGCTCCATATAGGGGGTTTCCAATCGCCACCTCAGCACTTGTATTATCCCTGTAGACATGACAAACATAAGAAACCTTTACACAGTGCATTCGGTGTCAAATGGAACGTTATAACTAGTGTGGTTCTTCGAAAACATGTTATTGGGTACCCTTCAAACAGAATTATCTTACATTAGGACGATACCAAAAGTAAATTTTTGGTCATTTCTTTACAAACTAAATTGAATCAACCATACCCCGTTACAAGTAAGTGTTATTCAGGAAGTGTCAAAATATGACGCCTTGTGAGTGTGTCTAAAAGCGGGAATCACAGCTGTCAACCATGTTTGTTTACATTCTGTTGATTTGTGGTGGTGTCACAAACTGTAGCTGAGTGCGCCTCTTGTGGGCTCTTTACTTAAAGTGTCAATCTTAAATGTCAGAAATGTGAAATAATTCCACAAATATGTTGAAAAGTGTTAGTGAATTACAACCACACGGTCAGATTATTTCAAGTGCGAAAAGTTTACATTATTGCCCAGGACAAGATGAAAAGGGCACGCTCTACAGGAATGTTTGCTTCCAGCACTTGTGCAATCACATTAAATAACGAGGCCCATGTAAATGTTTATATTGGTTCATTACATTTACTTCTGTGATAAAACTGTCCCCCGGCAAGCAACGACAGTTGTGAATCTTTACGTAAGTTCAGCCACCGAACAGAACTCACGTTTTAGAATCCTTGTTGCCCTCTGCAAGACGTTCCATTGGTACTCCACAGGCCTCGGAATTCCTGCAACACAAAATATCACAGTTTATCATCAGTCTGTAGCGAAAGACAATAGACGTTTATCTCAGTTATTTCAGTGTTCATATGTATAACTATAAGGAACACATAATAATGTGATAATCTAGCTGAGTACATTTGTGTAGTCTTTATGGGACATTGCTGACAATTGAGCAGTAATGCAAAATATATTGTATGTCTCCTTCATCCAGTCTACTAGAATGTGAAGCATGTTTGACTCAGACAGATAACTAGCAATAATATGAGAGATTCAGATTACCCTTGGATCAAGACTGGTTATCGGACCGTCAGCCAGTTCCTACGGCGGCCCAACGCAGTTAATAAAACCCGACGATTTAAATTAGCGCTACGGGGGTGTGGTAGCCCAACACCCCAGTAATTTAGATCAGCGGGCTTAATTAACTGCCTTGGGTCGCCGTAGGAACTGGCTGACGATCCGATAACCAGTCTTGATCCCAGGGCAATCAGAGTCTCTCGTAATGCCATTCATCTGTCTGATCCAAACATGTAGACCCTGATTAGACAAGATGCTGTTGTATTTACCTTCCACGTCTTCTACATATGAAGACAGTGACGCCCACTCCGACCAGGACCGCTACGCCCCCTGCGGCGCCCGCAGCAGCGAACACCGCGGTGTTACCGCCTCCTCCACCGTCACCTGACTGTTCCGCCTGGTCACCGTCTTTACCCGCTGTAGTGTACTTGGAGGGACTTTCCGTTGTCTTCTCCAGTTCGGGTTTTGTGGTTTTAGCTGGAGGCGGTGTGTTTGTCTTCATCGGCGTGGAAGCCTCTGCTGTCGTTGTGTGGAGAGGCGTTTTCATAGTCGTTACTTTTGTCGACGTTTCCGCCATTTGTGTTGTTACTACAGGTGTTGGTGCTGTTGTTTTTGCTGTCTCTGTCGTTTCTGCCACAGGTGTTGTTGATGCAGCTGTAGTTGCAACAGATGTTGGAGTTGGTACTGGTATTGTCGTTGTTTCTTCAACCATTGGCGTTGTTAATGCAGTTGCAACAGTTGTAGGAGTTGGTAATGTCACTGTTGTTGTTTCAACCATAGGCGTTGTTGATGACACTGTAGTGGCAGCAGATGTTGGTGCTGTCGTTGTTTCTGTCGTTTCTACCATAGGCGTTGTTGATGTTGCTGTAGTTGCAGCAGTTGTTGGAGTTGGTGTTGTTGCTGACCCTGACGTTTCAACTATTGGCGTTGTTGATGTTGCTGTAGTCGCAGCAATTGTTGGAGTTGTTACCGCCGTTGTCCCTGCTGATGTTTCAACCATAGGCGTTGTTGACGTCGCTGTAGTTGCAGCAGTTGTTGGAGTTGGCACTGTCGTTGTTGTTGGTTCTGTCGTTTCAACCACAGGCGTTGTCGACATAGCGAGAGGAGTTGATGGCACGTCGACTGTTGTGGAATCGGCTGTAGTCTGGCTGAAGCTGGTTGTAGGCATTTCCGTTGTCCTAGATTGTGTAGATGGGAGGAGCGTTGTCTCTATTGTTGCCGATGTTGTTGCAACTGTAGGCTGTGTGGTTGACCTATAGGGTGTTGTTGGAGCGGTTGTAGTTTCAGGAACAGTTGATACGTCTACAGTCGTTATTTCTTGGGTTGTAGGAACTGTTGTTGATTGGACTGTTGTAGTACTGGGTGTAGTGGTTGCTGGTTGGGTTGGCACTGGAGGAGCTGGTTCTGTGGCATAGGAAATAAGATTGAAGTAAATTCGTCTGATACTTAACATTGGTTAATCACTGAATCTAGACGAGTCAGTGTATGAGATACAATGGCAACAGAAGTCAGACCTCCAACGGACAAGAACGCATACCTTCACATCCCAGTAGCTCTATTCGGAGACGTATCAGGTTATTGGTGAAGTCTTGAGGGTTCACTCGTACGATGGACGCGATGATCGGCAGGTCAAGGTCATGACTTATTACTGCTGCACCATCAGAATTTGCATCAAAGATCTGTAGGCAAAAACGACAATGAAATACCACAACATTAATAAGCATGATCTTGAAATGCTAGCTACAATGACTCTATATATATAATGACGAGAAAGAGAATGTATAAACGTTCTCGGATTAAGAGCCCAAACATATTTCTCACATAATAAGTTGCAAGTCACTGATACCTCGCTGCCGTCCGATCCGGCATCTTTGTACACTGACAGCCCGTCCTCTGTATCTCCGTAGAAAAGCCTGTAACTCTTGACATGCCCTCCCCACAAACCCTGTGTCTGGATCCCGGTGATGATGGTTCTGTTGTTAAACTTGACCTGTAACCACTGGTTAGTGTTGGCGACGGTTGGCTGCCAGGCACGACGACCGTTTAGTCGGCCTTTGTAAGCCTCGTAATCGGGCTTTTCCGAGGACGCCGAGATCTGGTTGTCGTCAATGTCACCGTTTGCCATCCCCAGTGGCAGCAAACATGAAGATTTCGCCACTGAAAACAAAACAGGGAATAAGATATTGATGGTAACTGGAATGGTGAGAGATGGTAACGATTTTCTACAGATCATCATCTATGTCCTTTTATTGAGGCTAACCTTCTAACCATGCACAGGCTATCTCGATCACAGAAACTCTTCATTTGGATTCTTGCTGTAATAATTGCTTTTTCTTCCGTTCTATAGGTCACTGAACATTGAACAGGTAGATTATAGATATGTGACGACGACCAAGGTAAGTCATAACAGCAGAGTAACATTGCGTTCAGACGTATCACACTGTCAACGACACTGATGTAGGACACCATTAGTACTCTGTGGCACACAATCGTACCTTGACATTGTGTCCCGACATACTCAGGCGTACACAGGCAGATGAAACCGTTACTCCTGTCCACACATGTCCCTCCGTTAGTACAGGGAGACGATGCACAGTGATCGACGTCGTCTGTTGGAAAAATGTACTTCGTAAAACATTTACATACATGTAGTATACATGTTGCATAGTTTACATAAGAACGCAAATGATACACAACAAAAGCAAATGAACTCTGTTCAATAGATTTATAGCTGTATGCAGAGCATGCATTCATTTATATTTTCAGTCCGTCGCCTGTAAAAATAGCCAGAGAAGCAAATGCAAAGGCCGAGTCAATTTTAAGATTTACTAAGCATATTCAATGGTGTTTAAGCAACCAACAGTCGTGGTAACTAAAAAGCCGAAAGCACCTGTTTCGCATTGCAAGCCAGTGAAGCCAGCAGCACAAGAGCAGCTGTAACCGGTCGGTGTGTCTGTGCACGTCCCTCCGTTAAGGCACATTACATCAGCGCATTCTGCATAATCTTCAGTTTGAAAGGCGTTTGAATATCATGTTAAAGAAATTCAAGTTTAAGACAAAATGTTGTTGTTGTTAACAATCCATGACCTCTTTAAGTTTTAATTTGCTAACCTCAACACCCCACAACAAAATAAATACACACATCCATTTGGCATTTAAGCCCATCAACAGTTAAAACTCGTTTCATAATGTCCACAGATGAACTTTCAAGATATGATTTGTGCACATTCGTTTGCACGTATCATAATAGTCAATATAGGTAACTCAGAATCAGTGCGTTTCGAAAGTTAATGTCAAAGTCATGAATGTTATCAGCTTGGCACAGAATAAAACTTGCATAAAAGGTCTAGCGTATACATATATGATGAATGCAAACCTTACCTGGGAAAGAAAACGTGGTAACGAATCCTTGTCCAGCTAAGAGCGTACCAAAGGCACCCGAGTAGAAGTGGACCAACAGAGACCCTGAAGATGACATTATCACGTCTGGTGGCGTGTAAACACCGTTCTCATCTCCACAGTACCGTCCTAGGGACGGGTCTGATGTTGTTGAACCGTCATATATCGACACGAATGGACTAGAGTCAGTACATCCAAAAAATGCTGTCAGGAAGTTAAAGACACCAAACTGCAGTTGAACCTGTCCCATGGGTGCTTCGATAATCCACTCACACGTGACTCCATTATCAAGCCGGTCCGGGTAGTTAGGAGATGTGATGTTTCTTGTTGGACTGTCTTTGTTCAGAGTTCCTCCACAGGTCTGTGCCAGTGACCCTAAGAGTGTTAAAAAACAAAAATTATAATGTGCCAAGATATACAGATAACTGGAAAGGCTGACATTTGCTCGGGAGCAAATACAGCATATATAACTCCATCCGTCCCCCATTCCAAAGCGACAGTTATCATGTCAACATTTTCCATGTAGTGCTACCCAGTATGAAGTATTTCAATGCCCCATTTAGTGCCTAATACTCTTACGTATACAGTGCTTCTTAGTAACAATTGTTGTCAAAATCCCCATTAAGTGCTTCAGTAAAAATATTTTCGATCCCCCCCCCCCGTACAGTGCTTTTCAATAGCAACTATTCTTTTTTAAAAGTGTTATTTTACCATATGGGTCTTTTAGTAACAAGTATTCAGTGTTTTCAAAAAGATCCATGTACTGCGTAAAACACCTACTAGTATGTAGTGCTTTTCAGCCTGTTCAAAACAATCGTCGTGTCAGTGGTTATCTGTAAATTTGTGCCTTGGCGATTTATATGGGCCGAGAGATGCCAAAAATATTTGAGGAACACCAAAATTACACAGATAAGGAGTTCACAAGCGCCATAAACGTGTTGCCGGACAGATAGTCTATCGCGATGACATTTGGGCTCATATTCACTGACGTCTGAGTCATATTTTACTGGTGACAGGACAACGCCCCAGTCCAGAGATAACCAAGTATCATGACTGAGCTATCGCCGTCTAGAAGCAATGGATGACATGTTAAGAAATGATAAGGAAACGGAGACTGCTTGCTGTCAAATGAAGTTCAGAGTATATAATATCTAGACGACACCTTAAAAATCAACAAAGAAAGTGAGCATCACAACTTCACCCCAATCTCTTGATGTAGAAGGAGTAGAAGCTGTCATTGTATGCTATGTTATAGTCTTGTAGAGTGAGTGAGTCACAGTTAAAGCTGCATTATCATTATGTACATGTAACATATGGACGATTAAAAAAGTATTTTTGGCCATTAGTTTACAAAGAAAGTCGAATCAATTCCACTCCATAGGGTACATGTATGATAAGTACCATTCCGCAAGTGCAGACCTGTGCCAAAATATGGCACCTTGCTGGAATCACAGTTGTCAGTCATGTTTGTTTACATTCTGGTATTTTGTGGTGGTACCACAAACTGAGTGCGCCTCGCGGAGGTTTTCTTTCATGCAAAATGTTACATAACGCCCTCTAATGTCAACTCTACCAACAATAGGTCCATTCAACACCCATACAAGTTGCAATGGTCAGCAACGTTCCGACATCACTATAGCACAAGTACCATAGTTCACGAGCATACCATTTTTACACGTAGGTATGTTACGAAGCCACGAATAAATTACCCAGAGCCAGCAATTCATATACTATGCTTTTTTCATGTATGAAACTGTCGCAACTCTGTGTCTCTTTTCGGAACGAAAGGTGACGGACAAAGTGTTGTTGAACTTGACAACCTTTGACATACTTATGAACCACCCAACATGATGCAACACAATATAATGTAGGCGGTACGTAACACTAACACAGTCATAATTTAACCATTACGCTGAAAGAGATGCCAATCACAATCACAGTTTCTGTCATTACATATTTATTAGAAATTAGACATGGTTGAACAAGACGAGCACCAATGGAATGGATCGGACAGTAACACATTTAAATTTGATCTGGTAATCAAATAGGTAGAAGATTTTCAAAGGACATCACTCACCTAACGGTGCAAATATCGCCAGAGCCACCACTCCATACAAGATCATCTTGTCCGTTGGCATTGCAGAATACTTAGGTAAAGAAATCCAGCAAAGCAACTATCTTTGACAACGGCCAAAGGAGTTCTGAATATCTCATTTGTTTTACTACGAATCTATCCCAAACGTCTTTGCGCCAAACATATCTGTTCCAATTCACCTTTTTACTATTCCCATGATGCATAGCGCCAGGGGTCGATATATGATATACCTGTCGTAAAAGTTAAACAGCTGATCTTTCTGTGTATTTTTTTAAATTCAAGGGAGCAACCTTCATTATTGCCGATTTTGTCACCAACGAATGCAAAATCACCAAAGTAACACCTAAATTCCAACCCCTGCCGCGATGCATCCTGGGAATGGGAAAAGGGGCGTACAAAGCGGTGACTGGCAGCGTTTTTAGGCCCCTGCAACTTTTTATCTTGAGTAAACGGAAGGGTGTGACAATATTTGTGTTGACTGATACGCGCTGCTGTAGAGTGAAGCTTCTGTGATTTCATTGGCTAGTTCGAGAGACGTCCGATAATACTGTATGATTATGATAATCTAACTTTGTCAGGCAACGGTTGAAACTAATGAAACTTTTAAAACTTTACGTAACGTTAACACTTCAAATCATAGATTAAATTGTGAAGAAATATTGATGCGACACAGTTGAACAGCTTGAAGTTGGATTTGATCTCCATGCTATAGAGTAGTAGCATATCACATGGACACGAATCACCATTCATGTACACGTTGTAGGTGACTCACAAAGATCATATTGACAATATGTTGTACGATCGGAAACTGAGAGCATTCTTGGGATAGTACTGTCGTGCATGTGTCCTATACCAAATTCAGCTTGCCCGGGATGTGTGAATAGAGGCTTTAGGTAAGCATGTAGACACCCCAAGGACACTGATCACACCACTCTGTTAGCAAACAACCTTTAGTCCTCTCACCGTGTCACCGCTGACCTGCGTGGTCCCCATCATGGGAGGGGAGAGTTAATTATTTCAGGAAAACAAAGGTTACATAACCTACACTGTTTGATGTTTGTTGAACACATTTTGAGCTTTTGACAGGGCAGTGACATACTTGACCCCTGCGTCGCTTGGAAAAGTATGGATGCGTATGGATCTGTTATAACATGTTTGTATGCGTGCGTATTAAAATGTACTAGTATATGGGAGTTGATTTTTATGCTACTGGACTGTGAACAATATATATCTACATCATGCAAACTTCCGGGACGACGATGAAGACTTCAAAGAATTTCTGTTGGCCGCATGATCACACACATTGGCGGTGAAGGTCTGACGAACGATTCATCGAATCCCGATCTGAGTAAAGGTTTCTGCCAGACGATACATCTCTCAAGACCATTTATCTTATACTCATAAAGCTCCTGTCACACATTCAGAAGCTATGGCTATAACCACCACAGCGCCTCAGTCGGGTTTCCCACAGAACGTGCACAACGGTGTCAGCATGGGAGGCCGAGGAGGGGGGGGGGGGTCAGCATGGGAGGGAGGGGGGGTCAACTGCTGATGGAAACGTGCTGGAGTTATCTCCACATGTCAACCGTAATGGGGACTAATGGAACAGTTTACGGTTGTTTACTGTCTCACTGTCTCTAACCTCGCTCCCCAGACGTGAGTCAAGGCCCTGTGTATAGAGTTTGGCCTGCCAACAATGGGGAAACCGTGTCCGTCGATAAGGCCTACACCCACCTGGAGAACGAGATTATGACAAAGCTAGCAAATGGTATATAGTGAGGTACATAGGCCTGCAAAGCACTGTATTTTTGCACACTTGTGTGCGCATACAGCACTAGGTTTCCATGTGAGACGTGAAAAAGCCTTCATTATGGGGTTTTCCACCATAAGATGGTTCCCAGTTTCCTGTCTGTTGGTGCTCGCTCATGGTTAGTTTGCCTAAGTTTAACTCTGTTGATTTTGCTCAAGTATTATGTAACACAATGATCTGATGTAACTCTAACCTTCTCATCCATGCAATTTGCTACTACTTATCTACCCTCAAAATGTTGAGGGTAGATAATTATAACATAATACCATATAACGATATCTTATTTCTAGAATTGGGAAGTTGCTCAAATATTGCATTTTGCTCCAAATACAGAAATCGCCAATGTTCAAATGTACTGATATACAATTAACGTTACATGTAAACAGGCACGACGATCATTATAAACGTCTCTCTTATTTATGAATCTTAGTACATTCTAAGATTTGTTTTTCAAACGTACTAATTAGGGTCCTTGGCACAGACCTGTGGAGGAACTCTGAACAAAGACAGTCCAACAAGAAACATCACATCTCCTAACTATCCGGACCGACTTGGTAATGGAGTCACGTGTGAGTGGATTATCCAAGCACCAATGGGACAAGTTCAACTGCAGTTTGGGGTCTTTAATTTACTGACAGCATTTTTTGGATGTACTGACTCTAGTCCATATGTGTCCATATATGATGGTTCAACAACATCAGACCCGTCCTTAGGACGGTACTGTGGAGATGAGAACGGTGTTTACGCGCCACCAGACGTGATAATGTCATCTTCAGGGTCTCTGTTGATCCACTTCTACTCGGGTGCCTACGGTGCGCTTTTTTCTGGACAAGGCTTCGCTACCACGTTTTCTTTCCCAGGTAGGGTTTGTCTTCAGGTATCATATACCATGAACCTAGTATGCAAATTCTATTCAACATGAGTGGCTAGCTGATAAAATACATAATTTCTAACTTTCCAACAGCAGCGATTCCGAATGGCCAACTGACCATTATATATGTTAGCGAACAAGGTTGATATGATTCAAATGCCAATATATGTGTGACTTGTATATTTTGTTGTTGGTTGTCATGATACGTTAACAACAGAATTTGTCGTTGGAATGTGGTAATATTATCATTTTTATATCTAAACGTCTTTCAAACCGAAGATTATGCAGAATGCGCTGATGTAATGTGCCTTAACGGAGGGACGTGCACAGACACACCGACCGGTTACAGCTGCTCTTGTGCTGCTGGCTTCACTGGCTTGCAATGCGAAACAGGTGCATTCAGTGCTTTAGTTACAGTAACTGTTGCTTTTCGTAAAAAGACATTTTAAGCGTACTAAAGTTTATCGTTGCCTCGCTCCTTGCATTTGCTTCTCCGAGCATTGTTTACATGCGACGACTTCAAAATTATATAAATGCATGCTCTCTCTCTCTCTCTCTCTCTCCCCCTCCTCTCTCTCTTCAAGTGATACTGAGCTCTAAAAATTAAAGATCGCGCTTGCTTCTTGAGATGTTCCCGGTACAGCCCGAATGCAGAATTTTCTACTTTCTTACTCTTAACAGAGGACATCGACCACTGCGCATCGTCTCCCTGTACTAACGGAGGGACATGTGTGGACAGGAGTACCGGTTTCCAGTGTCTGTGTCCGCCTGGGTATGTCGGGACACGATGCCAAGGTAATTTTGTGCAAGGCAGAGTACTGCTTTTATCCGACATCGGAATTGTTGACAGCATTTTATCCCCTGCCACTGTTACTCTGGTCTCCTTGTGAAATAAATAAAAAAAAACTTTGTTTTTGTCTTCGTCTTCATCAAATGTTGTACCCGGTCCATCTTCATGAACCTAGATGTTACACAAAACGTCAATATACAAAACAACAATTCCAATCAAGTTCCAGTGACCCTGAAAGCCTGTGTATGGGTAGAAGATTAGCTGTAATAAAAAGATGATTATGGTCTACAGCAACCATTACCGGTAGCGCCTATCACCATTCGAGCAGTAGTAATACTATCTTTTTTATATTCCCTTTTTTTTGCAGTGTCAAAATCCTCATGTTTGCTGCCACTGGGGATGGTAAACGGAGACATTAAGGACAACCACATCTCGGCATCCTCGGAGAAGTCCGGATACGAGGCTTACATGGGCCGACTGAACGGTCCTCGTGCCTGGCAGCCAACCGTCGCCAACACTAACCAGTGGTTACAGGTCAAGTTTAACAACAGAACCATCATCACCGGGATCCAGACACAGGGTTTGTGGGGAGGGCATGTCAAGAGTTACAGGCTTCTCTACGGAGATACAGAGGACGGGCTGTCGGTGTACACAGAGACTGGATCGGACAGCGCCAATGTATCTATGTATAACTTAGTATATAATCCAGAATATTCGTTTCCTCTTGTCAAGTTTTCCCCCTTTCTGACACTTTTTCCACCTGGCGAGAAATCGCATATATTTCCCTATGTATGTAATATAACCTGTCTTATCAGTTTAATAAATTGTCTTATGTCATATCTGAGTATTGTCAATTTCAATGGTAATGGCAATGTTTTTCTGACATTGGCAACAATTAAAGGTGTAATAGTCAATGCAATTCAGTAATGTATAGTGTCAATATGCACATGGCTGTCATGTTGATTTCTAATAAATATTTATAAAGCGCTTGAAGAAACGTTTCTGTTGTTTTTTTCATCTGTTTACAGGTCTTTGATGCAAATTCCGATGGTCCAACTGTGGTGAGTCATGACCTTGACCGACCGTTCATCGCGTCCGTCGTGCGAGTAAACCCTCAAGATTTCACGTCTGCGTTGATACGTCTCCGAGTGGAGGTGCTGGGATGTGAAGGTGCGGAACTTTGTTAAGCATTTGTAGGTATGGCATGTGTAATTGATGTACATGCATAACTCTGGTCGAAATCAACGTCTAATAAAATATAACAAGGGAAATCGTAGATTTCAAACCTCCGGGGTTTTTTGTGTTCTATTGGTTTAGGTTATTTGTTTGTGTGTAGTATGAAAGTTATGTGCGTAATATGTTTGTATGTGTTTGATGGCTACTGACGGTTGGTTCGGTAGGGACTGTTGATTAACGTGTCTGACAGTCTGCACCGTCACCCGCGCCATTACCCCTGCCGTCATCCCGCGCCGTCATTGCTGCGCCGTCACCCAAAATTTTTATCGGAACCAGACACCCCTCTGTTTGACCCCTTTTGAATGCTAAGACCCAAAACTGCAACCGCCCCATTCCTTAACAACATGGTAATTACCATTTTCAGCATGGCGGGGGTGTCCGGAGCACTTAAAAACCTTTTATTTCGACCCCCATAAACACATATGCAACTAGAAAGGCCAATATTTGCTTTGGAGCAAATACAGCGATGGGTTCACCACATTTTACGACATGGCAGGGAAAGAATGGGAAACACAAGGGAAAACAATGATTTACATTGATATAACTATAATATGAAGTAAAATACAACTAAAACAACAGTTGGATAGCTATTCCCTACTTTATTGGTTAGGATTTTTAATTGCATAATGCAAACTGTTGATTTTCAAAATAAAAAAAAACGTACCATGCCCGGCATTCCAATGCTTGAGCAGGAAAGCTTGAAATACCTACCAAAACACTTGAATACAGACATACTGTCAGTATGGAAATGCTTCTGTGCAGGTGTTAATCAAGTTAAATCCCAACAGCCAATCAGCAAGAAGTATAGAGGAAAGCTGCATGCCTATTGGTTGATGCCCTGCATTCCATTCTGATGACTCATGCCCAAACGTGGTAAACAAGGCAGACTAACACAGTAATACATTTGCTATAACACAGCCAAAAAACTCAAATAAAACCATTCTAAAAGCCTGTATCACAATAATTTAAAAAACGCCTAGGGGTATTTGCCCACTGTACCTCCATACCAAATTTCAGGACCTTAGGCCCTAAAATGAAGAAGCTGAATCCATTTAAAGATATGGCAGGAGGAGGAGGAGGAGAAGGAGAAGAAACATCAGAAAAAGCAATATGGTTTCACCACACCACTTCGTGGTGTGGTGAACCCATAATTAAACAAAAACGTTCTGCATCATCTGCAGCCCAATAGCAATACGTATACCGAACCACAGACAAATCCGTCCAGCCGATCGCGAGAAACAGCTGCTGACAGAAATGTTGAGGACCATAGTAAAACCTCCTCGCGGAAGGATATCTCCTTCCCCGGAGGTAATGAAATATAATTTTTTCACAATACTTCAGAATCTCTAGAATCGATCCAACCTGGAACTACAACACCTATCGCTACAACAGCCCTTTCTACATTCAAGGCAATTACGACAGAGGATGAGCAACCAACTCCCCCTCCGTCTACACAATCTAGAACTGCTGAGATGTCAGCGACCACCCTTAGCCAGACTACAACTGCCCTCCCCACGTCCCAGCCCAACACAATGTTTTCTCAGACTACATCTTCTCTGTCACCACCTGTCCTGACAACGACACAGCCTACAGATGCAACTACATCTGTACCAACAACACAACCAACTCTCCCTCCGTCCACGCAATCCGAGACAACCGACTTTTCAACGACCTCTCTCATCCAGATTTTAACATCTGGTTTGATGACACCGACTCCCCCGACCATCATAACAACAACAACAACTCTTGTAACGTCAGAGACACCACCAAAATCATCACCAGTAAGTACTGCCGTAGAAACTGCGGAGACAACAACAGTGGCAACTCTGACAACTACAGCGCCGTTAACCTCACCTGTATTAGAGACGTTGGCAACAACAGCGGCTATGACAAAGACTTCTATCCAAACAACGACATCGGGCGGTTCATCAACAATGGAGGCCAACACAGCTCCCGTAACAACACCTGGTATGTGATGCCAAGTATAATTTTCCACACTGTATCTAAACATATAAACACCTGGGGTGTTCCGGAAGATAATGATATACTCATATCTACTTCTAAGGTAGAACATTGTGTTTTTCTATTATTTTTACTATTCACAATGTCAATGCATTTCGTAATTTACTTGAACCCATAACCCTGTCAATATTACGCCTGTTCTTCATTCAGTCGTTTATTTGTCAAACTGCTACCTGTTTCTGACATTTAATTCTTTCAGTTCTGTCCACTTTTCACATGCTGCCCGCGACAAAACGCCTAGATTATGAACGCGTAGCAGTTTAAGTGTTAAAATACAGGTTCAGGATAATCGGTCCCACTGTGTCCGACGAGACCAAATATCCAGGCGATTCTATATGTAAGTATGAAAGCAGAAGGGGGAACCGTATCCGACTTGTACCATAGTTCGAGCCAGACTGAATTGATGTGGACTTCACACACAACAAAACAGGTTTGTGGGCGCTCGCTTACGGTGAGTACCAACACTTTCTTAAATATTCAGTTTCCTTTGTCAGTTGCATCAAATATGTATTTCTTAATTGACAAAAGAATGGTTCAACGCAATTATATGTAATACAGACCAATAAGCGAGGTTAACTGCCGTAAACTGCTCTATAACACACGTTGTGTGATCTAAAGTTAGGAAATTTGATATTTGATTCACCTGCCATTTCCAACAAAGACAGTCTCGTTTTTGCCCGAACTCGCGAGATTTCGGCAGCGAGAGAGTCAACGTGAATTGTATTTGGAAAGGGGACTATCGTACCTTAGTCGCATAATCTTCACCTGCTGTTTCGTAGACATCCAAGTACCTGTTGATTTTTCCCCATTGTCCAGTGAGTCCTATTGGAGAAAAGGCATGTGCACCCCAATAACTTGCGGCAACTACAGTATTCCCGTGAGTTTAATGTTGCACTTAGTCCATCAACCGCAGGGAGCGCTGTTGTGTGGTCCAATGAAGGTTAGGGCATTGTTTGGCTATTGAAGGCTATCGTTAAATAAGCTGAAGCAAGGGCTCGTGGAAGTATTTTCCCACATTTCAATCTGAAAAAAAAACTTGGAAGGATCATTTGCAAGATCCGATGATCCCTAGATCTAACATCAGAAGAATGTCTTTTTGTCCAAATGCCTCTGTTCATTGAATCACGTTTGACAATCGTATTTTCAGGAACTGTTGTATTTCATTGTCATTGGTTACATGTACTCTTTGTAAGACTTTATGGAGAACAATATCAGGCTTTATACCTTTGATTTTTGGGTTGGGCCGATAGGTGTTTGATTTATAAGCGTATAACGCGCTACTGGAGGAGACTATAAATATGCCAACAGTCTCCCCACCCACAGTACAGTCTCCAGGGAGAGGCAAGAGAGGAGGGTCCAAGATCAACGTCGGACGAGACTCTCGGCACTTCCTTACCTGTTGATAAAGGTTAGAACTTTCATCTTACATATGAGTGCAGCATAGTTTCAGGACCATTCCTTTATCTGAATCTGTAAAGCCGGTATAATTTTTGTATGGTCTTTTTGTACGGCAAAAAGACCATCGTGTGACAAATCTCAGGGTTCTGCAAAAAGGGAAAATGAAATTGGCCAGAAGAGTCAGTCTGAAGGAAGGTTACAAATGAAATCTACGCTAAACTATCTTGGCCCTATATATGGCTAAAAATTCTTTCACGCGCGGTCTTTCCTTGTTCTAGTCACAGCTCAAAGCTTTGGAACACTTTATACTGGTGGTGTGACGGTTACCCCTCACAGAAAGGACACTGCCGAACTACCCTATCCATGGTTATGAGTAACACGGGAGTAAGGTCGACTGTGGTTGGCTGGAGGTCGGCGAGGTTGGCTACTGTTCGGCTGCACCAGCCGAATATTTGATGTGGACGGGAGGTGGGGCTATGGTTAGGGACTGAATGGCTGGTGTAGATCAGCAGCGTTCGGGGGGTGGGGGTGGCTGACTCAACTGAAACTCAAATTTGATTCAATTTGTATAGAAAGGCAGCCCTTATCTAAATCATGTTAGACTGCTCCGTAAATTCAGCCAAGAGGTCCCGGGCCAAGTTCGAGTCCTGACGTGCCACCGATCTTGTGCCCTTGGGAAGGCACTTTACACGACTCTCCTCACTTTGCACAGGTGAAAATGATTATTTTATTGTCCCCTGACAGGCTGTGTTGGTGGTGGCATATAAGTTGAAAAAAAACCTGAGTTTGTCCCCACCACGTCTTGTGCGTACATGTTGGAAAAAAGTCACGATCGACGCGTACATGTTCGGCGAGGTCGGCAAAACTCGTGTTTTAATTTAGCCAAGGCGGGGAAAAAGTTGTGTTTTTTTTTCTCATATGAGTCAGCTGACAAGAAACGCCCCCAGAGTGTGGCCAACCCCAACAGAACAAACTTTGAAAAGAATGGTCATATTGTACTCGATAAGAGTTATAATGCGTATAAAATACTTACCTATTTGATGTACCAACTGGTAGTGCTTGTAAACGTCGTTTTAATTTATCGATTCATGTTGCCTGTAAAATATTTTCGTCCTCTTGAAGTATACCATGGCCTGAAGTTACATAGCTAAGGTCACGGAGTCACGGAGGTGCTTTCAGAGTTAGTGCAGCCTAGGATATACTAGAATTGTACTAGAACTTGACTTCAACTTGTACCCGCTTTGAAGTACGAGTATTGTCGACATTACCACACGAATCAATGGAAACAAGCAGGAGGGAAATATTTGCCGAATGAAACAAGAAGTGTCTCAATTCTTAACCGCACGTAACGGCTATTATATAAAACTATAAAACTTCATACAAAATATCTCTTCTTCGTTAGAAAGAGCTCGTGATACATTGTAATTGCGCACTAAGGTGACCAATTATTTGAGTCACTTAGCCCGGATAGCTTTTAATCGTTTTTTTTTTTTTGTATTATCAGGTTCCTAGACATCTGAGATGGCAGTCAAACTGCTGCTGACTGTGGGGCTGGTGTTTCTGATCGGACGCTCGGCGACAACTGAAGTACTTACAGGTGCGTCAAGTGGTTATCACAAGCGAGATCATAGGTGATTTCGGGGCGATAAATAAAACTGGCTTTTCAAATTTGATTTTCTGTATTTTTTAATGTAGGACATGGCATCGGTCGTTTATGAGACATAAATTAAGTCCAGTAGCCGACTAGGTGGCGCTTTTGCGGCGAGAACACAATCCCAAGCGTGCCTATAATTTCCCGGTCCGTGTTTCAGACGACACCCTGTCCCCAGCAGAGGTGCCGCAGCAAGCGCGGGACAGCGCCGGGGACCTGACCGATAACGAAGTGCTGCACTTGGTGGAGACTCTCAAAAGTACTGTCCCTTCTTTCAGCCATACCCCAGAACATTTACCGTACTGTCAGCTGAAAAGTTGTTCCCCAACATGTAACTGCACAGGATTTCATATCAGAAGTTCAATACCTGTACGAAAAAGGCAGCCAAGGCTAGACCTCTGCTTAATATAGAGTAACGAAAACATACTTCTGGTTTTGACAAAAGATCGCGTATACGAGTTCACGGCACAGGGGATGTTAAAAAAGGATCTCGGTCTTTGCTGTTAGCGTCTAAAACCGATCATGTTATATTCATCACTTTTTAATTTTTTTTTCAATGTCAGATGTGATCGAGGAAGAGGACAGAGCTGCAGAAGGGGGTGCTTCAGTGGATGAACCCGGTTAGTTGGATCTTTTAGTGCTGAACTTGATGTTTTAGTCGGCAGAATTCATATTTTTCATGGTTTTCTTTGGATTTTCGGTTGACCTTGCATCAGAATTTTGTCAGCTGCAGACGATGTCTTTTCCGACACAACATTTAAAAACTATACATATATAGACCGCATGTCATTCTTACATGGAATATATATACTCGAATATGACCTTAAACTAGATGTTCTGCCGAAGTGCTATACACAACATAATACGGGTTTCGCGCAGGCGATATACTAATGCCAACGTGCTTTGCCGATCGAGCTATATAGCTATAACATTAACAGAATTAGTGTAAATCTATGAAAAGTGTAAACCATAAGCTAAGAAATGGTGTTCGATGTATTTGCAAGAGAAAAGAAATGATGCTCTCCCTCCACAGATGCCGACCCTCCAGTAGAAGAAATGAAGCAATACGGGAATGAAGTGGAGCTGGGGACAGATGGTACGGAATAGCTACACAACTAATGGCCAACAAACCACAAATTGCAATATTTGTCATGGTCGCTAGGCGTCTCCTTTGACTCGTACAAGAGATATCCCATGCACCTCAAATTACATTGTTCAGTGAGATGGATTATGAATGTATACATGTAACTACTGCAATGTAGCATCTCAAACATTTCCAACTCATCTCGTACCTACATGTATTTCCTTTCCTTCTTAAGGTCTGATTGAAGAAGAAGAAAGAGAAATGTCGCAAGAGCTTGAAGGGGAGACTTCAGTTGGTGGTAAGATTGTCCAGGGCATAATAAGCAAGGATACTGGTTTCTAAACCGTGTCAAAAATCTGCAAGAGAACTTCAAATCCTGTTCATTTTAAAATTATTCCTTTATTCTTGGTTGTTCCAAGGCAGATAACATAAGGTCTGGCATTAGCTTAGTTTGCTTCTTGTATATACAATACAGCGGGAATTGTTTCACCGAACTATAGGTACAGTAGGAATATATATTGTTGTCTATGTGCTATACATATGAAAGAAATACACTGTGAGTGATAATTCAACTCAGAATCAACATTCTTGACTTCATTGTTTTTATATCGATCCTTGCAGTTGAAGAAGCAGTGGAGGAAGTTCGCCATGTTTCTGGTGGTAAGTGGCACATTTTTGTTACCGTATATCTTTAGAGTGGGTATGATGATGATGTATATACAAAACATAGATAAAAGGTGATATCACATAATTATATCAGTGCTACTGTATTACAATGATGATGATTACAATGTACATATCTATTATGTGTTAACCTCCTGCACAGACCTTTCTAGTGGCCTAACATTTGTTGACCTGGGTTATTCTTTGTTGTAGGCGGCCTAAGGCAAGCACGAGTCTGTGAACACCAGACACTGACCATCAGTTGTCCTGCTGGACGACAGATCCGCGTCGTGTCCGCCCTGTACGGCCGGACCTCCCGTGCCTTTTGCCCCCACAGCCAAATCCGCACCACCAGCTGCCAAAGCACCAACAGCCTGACCCTGGTCAGGACCAGCTGCCAGGGGAGGTCCTCCTGCTCTGTGAGGGCCTCCAACAGCGTGTTCGGGGACCCCTGTCGTGGCACCTTCAAGTACCTGGAAGTCAGGTACACCTGCACTGGTAAGTATACGTTTTTTTTGCGGTTGTCCATTTTCTAGACCTGCCACACGATACTAAATGATACTGTGCTACACGAGACATGCATATTTGTCACCAGGGAAGGAGACATCCTTCTGCAAAAAGGTACTGTTTTTGGTTGTGTTTGTGTGTTCCCCAATCAGAAGCTCTGAGGAAGGTGTCTGATAGACAGCAAAACATAAGCTAGGTGAGAGAATTACCAACTGTGTATAAGGAAATTCCTTTATGTCCAAATACATGTATACCTAATTCCAATGTCAGGACGCCCGACGACTGCGTGTGCCGGCTGGACCCGCTGGTATGACCGTGACAACCCGTCTGCCACCGGAGACTGGGAGGTGCTGTCCCACCTCCGTCAGGAGAACCCCGGGCAGATCTGCGCCGCGCCCTCGGGCATCCAGGCCCGCGTCAAAGGGGCCAACACCCCCGCCTCGCAAACTGGGCGGCAGTTCTTCAAGTTCAACCCACAAGTCGGGTTCGTCTGCAGGAACAACGACAATGGCCGCAACCGCTGTCTGGACTACGAAGTGCGCTTCTGGTGCCCATAGTCATAGCGGGCAAATACTGCACCACTTTGGTAGCCTGGTGTCCTGTCTATTGTCCAGTCTATTGCGTGGTTGGGACGGGCTCTCTTCGGGGCTCTATGCCAATTCAGATATGATGCTTACTAGTACAGAGCTTATGCTAATCACTAGACAGGCTTGAACTATGAAATAAATGCGTTTTATGCAGAAAGAATGCTTAATTCACAGATTTTTTTTTCTCTCTACAGTATAGAAGATACTTACTGGTATGTGGAAAGAAGTACAGACACAGGAGACATACACACAAGAGCCTGTATTATTAGTCCAAAGCTACCATAGTGCATGTACATGTACCAAACCTGTAAACACACATCCCCAAATCAACACAACTGTTCCTTTGAGCTATTTCACTTAGGGAGGGGTGCACCAAAAGTCACTAAAGGAGGGACATCAATCAGTGAAAAGTAGATATGGAAATGAGGGTTTATTTGTATCATGGAGGGCAATAAACAATGATAGGAGGG